CCATCAACGCCCTGCTCTGATAAAGATTTTTATCCAAGGTTTGTTTAAAATAGTAATGACTGTAGACACCCAATCTTTCAACCTATAAAAGGTAAACACTGAAAAACTGTATTTGGTAACATGTAGCATTGAACAATTTGTTAGGACCATTTCAAAAATCCTTTTTAGAAATTTTATTCAGTTGCAGGGAAATATACTTGATTTATCCTGAAAACATCTTCCTTTCTTTTTTAACATTTATTTTTGTTTTTGTTTTTTATTTAAAAATCTTTATTATTTAAAACAATTTTAGATTTAAATATATTTCGTCATTAAAAAATCTTCATTTCTTAAACAGGAATTCCAAAAATCAAAATCAGAACTCTTGGGCCTTTATAAGGAAATTCAAAGTCTTCCAAAGGCTGAGGGCAGAGACCAGTTTTTAATAGCATATAACCTACTACAAAGAGAGAGTTCTGAATTAGAAGTCAAGGTGAGATTGAATTATTGATTATTTGAGTGTTCAATAGTTAACTGTCTTATATGTGGAGAGAATAAAAGAAACTCTTAGGTAGCAGACTTGGAAATAAAAGATTCTTCTATTGGCTTATAATGAAACGACACATAGTATGGGTTATAAGTCAGGGCAAACATTTAGACTTCAACCTCCTGTGAATGTCTGACCTTAAATCAGCTTCTTATCAACTGAGTCTCTAGAGTGTGAATTTTACAGTATGGATTATAGGGAGGAAAGGTCCAGAATCTAGGGAGATGTGTGGAGAATGGTCTACAGCTAGCCTTTGCTTGTAGGACACTTTTTTGTTTTGTTTTTGTTTTTCAAGACAGGGTTTCTCTGTGGCTTTGGAGGCTGTCCTGGAACTAGGTCTTGTAGACCAGGCTGGTCTCGAATTCACAACGATCTACCTGCCTCTGCCTCCCGAGTGCTGGGATTAAAGGCATGCGCCACCAACACCCGCTTTAGCTCTCTCTTAATTATTAACCTATTTCTATTAAACTATGTATTGCCACGTGGCTATAGCTTAACTGTAATGCTCCGGTATGTTACTCCTTCGGTGGCTACATGGCCTCTCTCTCTCTGGTCTGCTCCCTGCCTTTCCTCTTCCCCTGCATTCTCCTAGTCTGGTAGCTCCTTCCTGCCTGGTTACTGGACAATCCACATTTAATCATCAATCAATAAGAGAAACATATAGTCACAGCATACAGAAGGACATCCCCTATCACTTAATGCTTTTTAAGTCCTTGAATCTGCCCACAGGAGTTGTCTGTCTGTCTGTGAGGTTTTGAAGAAGTCTTAGTTTGGCAGCTTTAACAGAGTATCATAGAATGGGTGGTTTAAGTGGCATTTATTACCCATAGCTCTGCAGTTCAGTTTGGGAAGTTCAAAGTCAGGGCGACAGTAGACCCCCATTCGGTGAAGGCTGCTTTCCGGTTCACAGACAACCATCTTCCCCCGGTTCTTTCCTCCTCTTCCTCCATGATACATGTGTGCACATGAACGTTCATGTGTGAGTGTGGACATGCTCATGCCTCAGCATGTACGGGGGTCAACCTCAGCTGGCCTTCCAGTTGGTTTATTATTTTTTGTTACTGCCGATGCTAGGCTAGCTGATCTGCAAGCTTTGTGTCTCCTGCGTCTGCCCTCATTATGTTGTAGGAATGCTGGGATTCTACACACACCTCCACCCTCCACCTACCCCCACCGCATCTCCCTATTGCATGTGACTTTACGTGAGTTCTGGGGATCCAAACTCAGGTTCTATGCTTTCACTTCAAATGCTTTACCCCCTGAGCCATCCCTCCGGTCCACATGGTTCTCAAAGGGATAGCAATGTCATCATGAGAGCTCTGCCCTTGTGGCCCAGCTGCTTCCTAAGGTCTCCTTCTGAGACCACCTCATTGAGGGTGAGGGTTTCATTTTATTACATTTTTATTTATTTATGTATTCTTTTAGGTGTAAGTACTCTGCATATACACCTGCATGCCAGAAGAGGGCATCAGATCCCATGTGGTTTCTGGGAATTGAACTCAGGACCTCTGGAAGAGCAGCCGGTGCTCTTAACCACTGAGCCTTCTCCTCCAGTTCCAGGTTTCATTTTCAGTTTAGGGGTTTTTTGAAAGAACTGAAAACTGCTATTTGGAAGAAAGTTCCTCAGTCTGGGTTTGTCCGGCAATTCCCCACAGGACAATGCAAGTTGATTGTTCTAGACAAGAATCCTATGGAAATGATGTCTCCATCCCAACACATTTTATTGGAAGACTCAAGCTACATTATCATTGTGTTAATCTTGGTTTGGCTGAGGTGCTCTCTGTTGTATCTTACCACTGTAAAGTTTATTGCGTTTCCCTTTGCAATGATAACCATCTCCTGAGTGGCTTCTTTGGGACACTGCATTCCTGCCCATCAAACTATTGTTCATGAAAAGCTTTTGTTCTGAGCCTTTACTTCTTGACAACCCTGAAGCTTCTCTTGGGAACGCAAAGTGCCCTAGACTTAGAATAACCCGGCTCAGGGGGAACATTGGCTGTGCCTTATAGATTTGCCAAAGCTTCTTATTTCACAGACTTTTGTCTGTGTCACATCTAGACTCATGTCACAGAAATTTGTAGCGGAAACAGGTGTGATCTAATAGGCCAGCTCATTCAATTTATACAAAGAGCCTGGGGGCCCTGGACAATTGAACTCCTGCCAAACTGTGTGTGGAGTTTCTCAGCCTGTTGCTCTCTCTTCCTGTCCTACCCTAAGGTCTCACAGAGTGGAGCACGCAGCTTACTTGGTTCTTTGGTATTTAAATGTGGCTGATGATTAGAGTGAACTATTATCACTAAGATTAATAGAAGCTTGTCATTTACCACACTGCCCATCTCTTAGAAGGGCCAATAGGATTAACTTTCCCCATGATAAACAGCAGCATTTTAGGGCTGGAAAAATGGCTCGGTGGTTAAGAGCACCTGTTGTTCCTGCAGAGGACTCCAGATTGGTTCCTAGCACCCACATCAAGCGTCTCACAACTGCCTGTAATTCCAGCTCCAGGGGATCTGATTTCCTTTTCTAGATTACCCAGGAAACTGCATGTACATATATACCCATAATTTTTAAAAGATAAAAATAAATTTTAAAAAGAAAGCATTCTACTGCTTAAGAGACATCCCAACTTTTTGTGTGTGTGTCCAGAAAACCCAGAAAAGTGCTTGGTGTTTGTACTACTATTGTTTTCAATTTACTAGAGTATTCAACCCAGGTTCTGAAGTTTGCTATCCTTTAAAAACTAGAATTTATTATCATTATATAATGTTTGCATTTTCAGAATAACTGTAAAAACTAAGTAGCATTTTGGAAGTTATTTTCCTGCTTGCAAAAATAATACACTCTTTAAGAAAACCTCCTCTGCTGGGTGGTGGTGGCCTACGCCTTTAATCCCAGCACTAGGGAGGCAGAGGCAGGTGGATCTCTCTGAGTTCGAGGCCCAGCCTGGTCTACAGAGCGAGTTCCACGACAGCCTCCAAAACAATACAGAGAAACCCTGTCTCAAAAAAAGAAAAAAAAAAAAGAAAGAAAAGAAAACCTCTTCCAAGACCCTCCCCTGCTGCCTGTCTCCCTGTTTCTTCAGCTCTTCATGTTGTGGCCTCCTCCCTCCTCTTCAAAGCATCTTGAGTCAGTTGTATGTCTGTCTTTGACCACACATACACTCCCCAAGCTTCAAATAAGCCACCTATAGCCTCCCATCTTCCAAGGTTCAAGGCCAACCCTTCACTGGAAAGTAACAACCCTTGGGAGAGATATGTAGACTGTACTGAACTCTGTAGTTACTCTTGAGAGGAATGAAAAGTCATAGGACATCAACAAAATTGCTGAAAGTCCACTGAAATCAAGCCTTGTATTCACTTCCATGGCTCTTGGAATCAAGCACAGTTACTCTAGGACATTTGCATTGCAGACAAGCAGCCATTTGCTCTAATTCAGGACTGTGTTGTGAACCATCTTCGTTTCCCAACCAGCCTCTCTACTCTCTCTACTCCTGGAAGGACATCTGCTTGGATTTCGTGTGAACATACAACGAGTAACCATTGAGGACGGGAAACCTGCAAAGTCCTCTAAATGCAAACAAACAAAATGAATATTTTATCAGATCGCACAACACAGTATCCCTCACAGTACCCACAGGTGCCAGATCACCTAGGAAACTTACACAGATTCTCATTTCCCATCAGACACTGAGCCTGGGCCATGAGAGAGCCTTTAAAATAAGCTGTCAGATAGCCTGACATTTAGGGGCCACTACAGTACCCAAGGAACCTTTACAGGTTCGAGCGTTTTCAAATAAATAGGGTCAGACTGGAAGAAATGTACCTTCTATAACATGCTGGTAGCCTTCTAGTATTTTCTCAAGGTAATATGTTACTACTTTTATGAATCAGTGAAGCACAGTTAAAACTTGGGGACAAAAAGTATATGGTTGTTTTTGCTTTTTCGAGACAGGGTTTCTCTGTGTAGCCCTGGCTGTCCTGGAACTCAGTTTGTAGGCCAGACTGGTCTTGAACTCACAGAGATCCTCCTGCCTCTGCCTTCCAAGTGCTGGGAATAAAAGTGTATGCCATGACCACCTGGCTTAAAAGTGTATAGTAAGCATGTTAAATACCAGGGATCACTGGAGTCTTGTTGCCCTTTGTTTCATTGTTTCTGTTTAAAGATACAACCCAATTATAAACAGCAATCTGAAATGCCAACATCAAAGACCAAAATACCTGTTTATTCATTTGTTTGTTTGTTTGGTTAGTTGGTTAAATCATGGTGTTACATACCCTTATGTCTACTATAAATAAGGATTAAGTTATGTAACACCTGAGAAGTATTTAACTAAATTGTAGTAAGATTTGTGGTGGGGCACCAGTTTAGATAGCTTAAGGCAGCAATGAAGCATTTGGTGGAGTTAGTATACTTTTCACAGTCATACATAAGCGTCTGCAAATTAGAACATTTGCTTTTTCACTTAACTTTACAGGTCTTGAAGTTTTCACAAGAATTGGAGCAGTTAAAGCATTGTTCTGTAGGGGACGGAACTGCTAGTTTAATGACAAGTGAAGAGCTGCTGTCTAAAGTGCCACTTGTGGAAGCAGAGCTTCTGAGCCCAAGGGAAGAAAGACAGGCACCCTGGTAAACTGAGAAGGTCCTGAACACAGTAATTGCAGGGGGGTTATTTGACTTGGTTATCCTAAGGATTTCACATTCATTTTCAAGAGATGTAATCAGGAAGAAATTAGTTTAAGCATTTCCCAGTTTGTCCTTTTTTTTTTTTTGTAACAATCTTATGTTGAGTATTATGGAAGAGAACAGACGGACTGGGCAGTGAGTAGGATACCACATGCAGCATAGGGTAATGGGCTCACAGGGCACGCCAATTTGTGATTTAGCATTAACGTTACACTTTGAAACTTTCCCCCTTGCTTTTGAAAGTTAGCATGTGCTTTCTGCTGAAATGTAGGAAGCATGTAAAAGTAAAAGTGATTATAATAACCTACAATTCTTAGGGAGAAACACACTCACCTATCAATCTCTCCTGTGCACACAGGTATGCAGATAAATTGTTTTTACACAATCAAGGCTGTACTCTCTCTACATGTATAGTTTCTGTTTTGCTGATCTTATTTGACATTATACCTGATAGAGTTTTCAGAACCCTTCTCTTTCATTTATTTGTTTAATCTTGCTCCCCAACTCTGTGTTTATACATTTTTAACCAAAATTATCTTTCACAGAAGTTTTGGAGGCTTTAGGCAAATGATCTGCTCTAATCTGGCAAAAAACTAATAGGAACAAATTACTGTGTGCGGACAAAAGGTCACTGAGAAGGAAACAGTAGATGCCCATGCTTCTTAGACACCAACCTAAAGGACACCCTTTTCCGTGAACTGGAGAGATTGGGTCCTGGTGTCACCAAATTTATTGCTGCATAAATGTTCTAAGATAGATACTGCTTTGCCATTTTGGTAGCTCCTGAATTTCATGTTCTCTTAAAAATTTCTTTTAACTTTAGAGTTAGCTCTGAGTTCAAGATTCCCAACCAGGAAACCAAGAGGTGGAGAGGGAAGGGCATTTTGGAGAGATGGGGGGGGGTTGGTCTGCAATAGTGAGCCCAAAAGCAAGTAGCCATGTTTAGGTTTGGTGTAGGACTCAAGAAAGCATAATTCTAGAGCATGGGAACAGTGTGACAGGTTTCGAGGGAAGTTGTCGTAGCATTTCTTTAGATGAAGATGGAAGGTGACAGGCAGGCCGGCTAATCCAATGTGAGCCACAGTTGAAGGAACAGTAGCCTGGAGCAAGAGGCTGGTGGAATGTAGCAATCACTCTGAAAACTTCACAAAAAGAACTGACTGTGTTGGCTGGGGTACTCAACCCCAACTGGCGGGGGTGGGTCACCGGTGGGGATACTTGCCACATAATTGTTTCTTCGTGGTGGGAACTCTACCAGGAGATGTACTCTGAACTTCCATCTAGAGAGCTCCTCGCTGTTAGTTTTTAGACGTCTGTACTGGCCTGCCTTTGGAGTCCTGACAGGATACGCCCTCAGCTGCAGTCACTAAGAGCACCACCTGTGCACATTCATTATGCTCCCTTTTAAAAGAGCCCTGCCAACCCCATCCCCCATCTCTTTTTCTTTCTGTCTGTTTCTCTTGCTGTGTCTGTTTTTTTCTCTCTCTCTTTCTCTGCCTCTTTTCTCTCTCCCACTGCTCCTGTCCCCAGAGGCCAGTCTCCTCCCTTTCATTCCCCCTTTCCCATTCCCGTTCCCCTAATTTAAAAAAAAAAAAGCCACCTCCACTTGAACTCTGTCACGTGGCATCTTTCTCTTTTGTGCCACTTTTTTCTTTTTAATTACAACACTCACCACCCCTGTTTCAATGGCTTGGCCCAAACTACTTCCCATTGTTGGGACGATGAGAACTGTGGGTGTCTGCCACATGTTTCTCTCTATGCCTGTCTCTAATGGCTCCTGTTTTATTGCCTGTGCCCCTTGGCAGACTCCACTTCAGTTAGACCTGGAACACAACCACATTTAGCTTTAACCATTTGTCACCTGTGTGCAGGTGCTCCAAGCAGAGGGAGGGAACAAATTCAGACAGATTTAACGTTACCATCTGATGGGAGGAGGCAGTTAAACAAAGCACTGCTAACTAGCTTCATAGTCTATCAAGGCCAAAGGGGGTGCAGGGACACAGAGACAGAGAAAGACAGAGAGAAACAGGGAGGAAGAGCAGCAGAACTTGATGTCAAAGGGGCATAGATTTGTGTGAGGTAGTTTAGAAGAACTCTAGGGAAGGGGGGAACATTAAGACTAAGATGCAGGCAGACTCCCCAAACATATAGATACATGGAATGCTTATATCAAGGAAGTATTTGCTTGCTGGATTTTGCAGTGTTGGGGTTAATCATGGGGCTTCACATGTGCTGAAAAAGCGCCCAACACTGAGCTATGTCCACAAACCTAGTTAGGAACTTAGATAATAAAAAAGCTCCTTTAGAGTTTAGCAGCCTGGGCAAAACAATAGGTTAGTGCTTTAGGAAAATCACTCTGCCTGCTATGTGTAAACATTTTTAAAAAATCAGTGGGACTTTGTGATTAGTGACTCTAATCAGGATGAAGAAGATAAAGTAACTTGAGCATGGGGAAAGTCTTAACAATAAAGTAAGAGGTGGCCAGGGAGATGGTCCAGGCAGTGAAGGACTTGCCAGGCAAGCATGAGGACCTAAGTTCAGATCTCCAGCACCCATGTGAAAGCCAGGCACAGTGATGTTCACGTCATCCCTCTACTGGTTTGGCACGTGGAGACGGAAGGGTCCCCAGAACACACAGGCCAGCCCATCCAGCTAAACTGGTGAGCTCTAGGTTCAGTGAGAGACCTCCCCCATCTCAAAAACTAAAGGGAGGGCCAGCAAGATGGCTCAGGGGGTAAGGGTGCTTGCCACCAAGCTTGAGTTTTATCACTAGAACCTATATGACAGGAGGACGGAACTGCCTCCCACAGGTTGTCCTCTGACTTCCACACATGCACAGTGGCACACACACACACACACACACACACAATTTAAATGTAATACAATTTTAAATAAATAAAATAACTTGAATTCCAGCTGGATTGTTTTGTTTGCTGATTTTCGGAATATGTCTATTGGTATGACAAAATACTCGAGGCTGAATTTTTAGAAGTTGATTTGGCTCATGGTTCTGGAGGTTCAGAAGCCGGCACCCATCTCTGGTGAGGGCTTTCCAGCAGATGGCGTTACAGCAGAAGGAACATGGGCAAGAAGGGATTACATGGAGAGTCTGGAAGCTAGGGAGTAAGGAGGGAGGGGATAGGCATCTTTTCTCTTCTGTGTGTATGCATGTGTGTGCATGTTTGCGTGTGTGAGGTGCATGTGCATGTTTGTGCACCTGCATGTCAAGGCACGAGGTTGATGTCAGGAGTAATCCTTGACTGCTCTTCCACCTTATTGGTTGAAGGATATCTCAATCAAACTAGTCCCGCTGGCTGGCTTGCTCAGGAGATCCCCTTGGGGGAAGCAATAAAACCATGTTTTGGCCGGAACAGTGTGCCTCTATTAGCTATTGTTTTAAATAACATTATTATAAGCAGCATTGAACCCTCAGCTTTTTTCTTATGAATTATTTATTACTATTACAATATATTCATGGAGACTGGGGTTGTAACTCAATAGTACAGCACCTGCATAAAAACCTAGCTCCAATTCTCAGCACCACAAAACAGTGTATGTTCATGAGTTACAATTTTTCAGAATCTAAACATTTTAAGATGGCTTAGGGCTTTCTTTTTTTAATCAATTTTTTATATGTATGGGTGTTTTGCCTACATGTATGTCTGTGCCTCACATGCATGCCTGGTACATATGGAGGCTGGAAGAAGAAATTGGATTCCCTGGAACTGGAGTTTCAGATGGTTTTGAGCTGTGAGCTAGGCATTGAATCTAAGTCCTCTGGAAGAACAAACAGTGCTCTTAACTGCTGAGCCATATCTCCAGTCTCAGATTCGGAATGTTTTTTCCATTTATTTTTTATTTTTAAATTTAAATTAGAAACAAGGTTGCTTCACATGTCAATCCCAGGTCCCTCTCCCTCTCCCTCCCCTCCTCCAACGCCTTCCCACCAAACCTCCATCCCCCCACTTCCCTAATCCCCACTCCTTTCTCTAGGGAGGGTGAGACCCTCCATGGGGGGTATCTATAGTCTGTCATTTCATCCAGGGCAAGGCCTAGGCCCTCCCCCAAGAGTCCAGGCTGAGAGAGCATCTCTCATTGTGTGATGGGCACCCAAAGTCCATTTGTATACCATGGATAAATATTGATCTACTACCCAAGGCCCCACAGATTGCCTAGACCTCCTCACTGACACCTGCATTCAGGGGATCTGGATCAGTTCCATACTGGATTCCCAGCCATTTGTCTGGGGTTCAAGAGGTCCTCTTGTTCAGGTCAGCTGTTTCTGTGGGTTAAACAAGCCCAGTCTTGACCCCTATGATCATTAGTCCTCTCTGTCTCTGGGTTCCTTGAGTTCAGCTTAGTGTTTAGCCGTGGATGTCTGCCTCTGCTTCCATCAGTCATTGGTTGAAGGTTCTGTTTCCCAGACTCTCTGGCAGTGGGATTGTAGGCTGGCACTTCCCTGATCCATGTCTAAAATCCATATATGAGTGAGTACATACCATGTTTGTCTTTTTGTGACCGGGTTACCTCACTCAGGATGGTTTCTTTTAGTTACATCCATTTGCTTGCAAATGTCGAGATTCCATTGTTTTTTCTCGCTGAGTAATACTCCATTGTGCAAATGTACCACATTTTCTCTATCCACTCTTCAGTTGAGGGGCATCTAGGTTGCTTCCAGGTTCTGGCTATTAGAAATAATGCTGCTATAAACATAGTGGAACAGACGTCCTTGTATGAATGTGCATCTTTTGGATATATGCCTAAGAGTGGAATTGCTGGGTCTTGTGGTAGGCTGATTCCCATTTTCCTGAGGAATCTCCATACTGATTTCCAAAGTGGCTGTATGAGTTCGCACTCCCACCAGCATATTGGGAATATTTTTATTTGTGTTGCCAACTGCCTTCTTGAATGTAACAACTGTGACTGGTGAAGCATGCAGTCCTGGGCTCCAAGGTGCCCTAAACGAATTTCAGATTGAGGGAATAGAAATAAAAGTGGGACTAGGGAGTAGCTTAGTGGCAGAATGCTTACCTAGCATGCAGAAAGTCCTGGAGTCCATCCCAGAACTGCCAAAAAAAGAAAGACAGCAGAAACAAGATGCAGCAAGACCACCCAGCATGTCTGTGAGCACTCCATCTTCTATACATTCCCTGATGGCTGAAGCTGCGTCCCTCCTTCTGTTTCTGTGACTTAAACTCTCAAGGGTACCCCTCTTTCTCTGGCTTTCCAGGTCCTTCTACTTGCTATTTACAAGCCCTTGGCTCCTGTCTAAGATGAACCCTTCATCCATGATTCCCCTCTTCCTTGTGTTCAGTGCCGAGGTCTCTGCCTCTGCTCCCTATGTCTGGATGCTCAAGCATCTACCCGTTCCTTAGGTACACCCTTCCACTCTAGTCCATGTCTATTCTTGAGTCTGCCCCAGTTAGAAATCCAGATGTCACGTCACCTTGTCCTCCCTCACCTACCACATCTGGTAGATGGTGAATGTCGTGAACACCGACTTGGAAGTGTCTCAGGCCCAATCCTGGTTCCCACTCCTGACTTTTATTATGTGGATGGAGACAACAGCCTGTCATGGAGTTTCCCTGGCATGTTTTTTATTTTTATTTAAAAGCAAAAATAAAAACAAACCCATTTACTTAACTGGGGAATGGAAGGGGCAAATATACCTCAGTACCCTTGTGAAAGTCAGAGGACAACTTAAAAGGCCTTGATTCTTTCCTTCTACCATATGAGTCCCAAAGATTAAACTCAGGTCATCAGGCTTGGCAGCAAGCACCTTTACCCACTGAGCCATCTTGCTAGCCCTGCAGATCTTATTCATTAACCATCCTTGAATACTTCGGTTCCCTGTGTTCTTATCTGTCCTAAAATCTCCTACCAATGCGTGCACACACACATACACTTTTATTCCTGACTTTCTTTAGCTCACGTCAATGGTTAACCAAGCTATCTACTACTACTCAGCCTAATTACTGTCTAGATTTCCTTAGTTCCCAGTGAGTTCTAAACCTCTTAGAACTCACTGTAGCCCTATTGCCTGTTGAAGTACCTGCTTTTGAGTGACATTTGGAACTTTTTATGACCCGAATCTTCACAGTGCAATACTAATAGTCCAGAGAGGATTTTAAAAAGTCATTTAAACTGATTGTTGAGCTGTAAATGAAAATATATGATGAATCATCTCCTTGTCTGTGAGTGAAAAAAATAAAGAGCCATTGCTACAAAATGCACAGGAGCAACTTCCGGCTGTACAATTCAAGTTTGAAAAAAGAAATCCCCTAGTGTGTAGGACTTTCTTCTGCCACAAGAATATTTGTGTGACAGATCTTTTATTGTTGTATTTGTACCAAGTTCTGAATTAGGAGAAAGTAAGCAGGAGGAAATGCCAGAGGAGTCAGTGAAGGCGGCCACTTTTCCAAGAGAGAGACGGGAGGAGCCACAGCAGAATGGAGACCATGAACAGCTGTTGGCCATGAAGCCCAGAGAAGCTGGGAGGCTTGGAGAAGAGCTGAGCCTGCAGTCTCAGCGAAGTGGGGATAGTTCAGATGACAGTAGCACCCAGGTAGGTGCTGCAGACACACGCTGTGGGTCTGGTCCCTCAGACTAGCCCTGGAGATAGACATCATTTTTACCGCCTTAGTTCTTCATGTCTGTTGTAAACACTATAGCCATGACTTGAATCTTAGTTCTTCATGCCTGTTTCTCAACGTTACAGCCACGGCTTGCATGGTAATAAACTTACAACCAAAGTCTGAACCCGTGGATCCACTTTATTGGGGGAGGGGTGACACAACTCTGTTGAGTTGGTGCTCTCCTCCTGCCTTCCTGTGGGTTTTAAACATGGAAGTCCCCTCTGAGCTGTAAGCACGAGGCAGGCTCAGGAGGAATACGCCCGCCTCTGGTAGGTGGGTCCGGGGGAGGATGGCAGGGTATGTGCCACCCTTCCTATTCCAGGTGGCTTAGTGAACCAACTGTTCATTTTAGTAGAGAAAATGACCTCAGGGAATTGTTTTAAATATGGTCTACCTGTAAGAGAGTTAAAGGGAGCGTTACCAGCACCTCTTTGGCTCTTAATCTTTTAGGACTCCGTTGTACAGAGTAGAATTTCTCTGTAGATACCTTCCCAGAAGTTACTTGAGATCTTCAGAAGACTGTTGTATTTACAAATAAACCACCTTCAAAGAGCTGATAAAATGCCAGGTGCTACTCTGCTAGCCCAGAATTTGAGAGTTAGAGGCAGGAGGGTCAAGAGCTCTAGGTGACCCTCTGTTACTTAGTGACTTTGAGGCTAGCCTGGGCTGTAAGAGAAAAACAGTTTGATAATACGTACTTGAGGAGTAAGTGAAGGGAGCTGACTCAGCAGTTAAGAGTGAGTTCTGCTGTTGCAGAGAACCTGAACTCAGAACCCTCCAGCTCGAAGGGGATTTAACACCTCTGGCCTCTGCGGGCACCTGCAGCCACATGCACAGATACACACACAGAGAAACATAGGCAAACCTTTCATTTTTATTACTTATTTTCTTATTTTGAAACAGTATCTCACCGTGTAACCCTGGCTGGTCTAAAACTCTATAGAAGCCAGGTTGGATCACTGAGATCTGCAGCCCTCTCCAGAGTGCTAGGATTAAAGGCATGGGACACCATGACCTGTGCAAAATTAGTTGTTGGGTTTTTTTGTTTTGTTTTAAGAGAGGGCTTTTGTTGTATAGCCTTGGCTGTTCTGGAACTACCTCAGACAGTGCTGGTTTTAAACTCACAGAGATCCACCTGCCTCTAACTCCCAAGTGCTGTGATTAAAGGCATGCATCACCACCACCAGGCTCATTTTTTTGTGGGTTTTGTTTTTTGTTTTTTGTTTATGTAAGTTGAGAGCTGGAAATGTAAGCATGCCCAGGAGAGTCCATTGTGGGGAGAGAATAGGAGAAGGAGAGTAAAATGTACATTTGGAAATGGAATTTAAAACTTGGAGAAGCTATAGTAATTAAAGAAAATATAACCAACCAGGTTTGGTGGCTCATGACTATAGACTCATCAGAGACTGAAGAGGGAGGACCACTCAGGAGTTCAAAGGCAGCCTGTGCTGCAGCAGAATGAGACCTTGTCATCTCTCTCTCCCTCTCCCTCTCCCTCTCCCTCTCCCTCTCATAAACACACACACACACACACACACACACACACACACACACACACACACACACACACGAAAGCAGATTCAGATCTTGTTTGGTTCAGAAGCCCAAAGAAGAGCATGACATCAAATGCCCAACAATAAGTCCTATTTGGACCCCAGCTCTCCCTTCCTAAGACACTGGGCCAGAGTAGCAGGCTTGAGAAGATGCTAAATGGGACACGAAGATTACAAAATCTTTGTTATTGTTGTTTGGGGTTTTGGGGTTTTGTTGGTGGTGGTTTGGTTGGTTTGGGGGTCATTGTGTTACTTTGCAGTCAGGCTGGCCTGAAATTTCACTATGTGGCCCAGGCTAGCTTCAAACTCTACAATCTTCCTGGCCCACTCCTGAGTGATGGGATCACAGGTATGTGCCACCACGCTCACCTAAGATTATAAAAATTTTGCCCACATGTAAATTAATGTCTGAAAAGTAATTCCTGGATAACTTGTTAATTTAATGTATCTTTCCCTTTGTTTGAAGCACTTGTTGGGCAAAACCTACTAACAAAGAACAAAACTGGGAGGGAGATGTGGAGGGAGGGTGGGGAAAGAATGGGAGGTCAGGGAATGAGGGTGGATTGATCAAAAATGTCATATACATGCATGAGATTCTCAAACAACAGAAACAGGGAATCTCATGTTAATGACAAATAGAAAGTTTGAAACTACAAAATATGCAAAAAAAATTCTAAGGAAAATTTGAGTGTATTCACTTTGTGGAAAGGCAGATAATTCTACAGGCCACACAGCCCCCTGGGACTTCAGCAAATTCTGGTGTAGTTCAGTAAGATTTTCCCCCTAGTGACCATAAGTTATTGAAAAAAAAGTTGAAGTTCTTATGTCTTCAACCAAGATGAATTGCCTGGAATGCATGGAATAAGGTTGATGAAGCTAACACCTGTGTTAGGGTTCAGCTAATGGTTTGTGGTCCAACAGGACCCACTCTTCCCACCTGGTCATGTTCTAAACTCTTCTCAAACCTCGAGGTGAATGTCTAGCTTGGGGATGCAGCACTGAGTGTCGAAGTCTAGTTGAAAAGTTCTGTATCATACACTGCCCAAGCAAACCACAGGGACCACTGTAAGTCATCATCAGCTGCCTGCACACATTGATCGTCATAGACTTCTGTGTGCCATGTATGTGTGTGTGTGTTAGCTAAGCTGAGTTTGAAGATGACCTAGAGAACTGTGTCACCTCTACAAATAAGATCATGACCTAAAACCCACCTTATTGCAGCTTCAAAACAGACGCCAGCCTGCATGCCTCACCTTGTCTAGGACATTGGCAGCATTGAATCTGTGGGACGTGCTGATATCCCTGTCATCTGCTGGACAAGGCTGCAAACTCACTTTTGGCCTAAGATCTCCCCCCTTGTCTTCCGAGGGTGTTCTCTCGTGTCTGTCCCAGTGGGATATGCAGCATATCTACGGGGATTATCCCATAGCACTTGGGTTAGTTGGGTTAGTTGGGACATAACAACTTCGTTTTGCTATTCTGGGTCAAAGACATGTGAAAAGTTTAGGGTGAAAGATACTAGGTTCTATTTCTTTTAATTAAAAGATAAACATGTGTGGGTGTTTTGCCTGCATGTAGTATGTCTGTGCACCCTAGTACTGACTGACACATGGTTGGGAATCAAACCAGGTCCTCTGGAAGAGTAGCACATGCTCTTAACCAGTGAGCCATGTCTCCAGCCTCTCTGTTATTTTTAAATGCAATTATTGAAATAGTTTGAATAACATAGGCTCAAATGTTTGAATACTTGGCCCCCAGTTAGTGGAAAGGTTTAGGAAAGAGTAGATGTTGTTGGAGGAGATGTGTCACTAGGGCCTAGTCTTTTGGAACAAAAGACTAGCACCATTCCATTCCCAATGTGCTCTCTGTCTTTTGCTTGTGGTTGGAGATGTGTACTCTCAGCTGCTCCTGCAACCATGGCCTTTGCTAGCCCCATGGACCATATGCCTAATTAAATGTGTTCTTGTGTAAGTTGTCTTGGCCACAGTGCTTTTTTTAATTTATTTTTTATATTTTTGTTTTGTTTTGTTTTTTGAGACAGGGTTTCTCTGTATTGTTTTGGAGGCTGTCCTGGAACTTGCTCTGTAGTCCAGGCTGACCTCGAACTCACAGCTGCCTCCGCCTCCTGAGTGCTGAAATATACTTTTTTCAGAGCTTTACTAGGGAGGAGATTATTCACTGACCCCAGTGGATCAAATGTCACACTCAAGACCTCACACAGATATTATCAACCTCTATCCTCATGTTGCTTCCAACATTTATGGAATATTTTGCTTAAGTTTGTTCTCAATCTGGTGGCTGCTTTCAGCAAATGATCACCACCACCATCACCACCTCCACTACCATCACCACCACCATCACCACCACCACTACCATCACCACCTCCACCACCACCACCTCCACCACCCCCACCTCCACCACCACCACCACCACCACTACCTCCTCCTCCACCACCATCACTATCACCACTGCCACCTTCACCACCATCACCACCTTCTCCTCCACCACCACCATCACCACCTCCTCCTCCACCACCACCATCACTACCACCATCACCACTATCACTTTCACCACCATTACCACCATCGCCACCACCATCACCACCACCACCACCATCACCACCACCATCACCACCATCACCACCATCACCACCACCACCATCACCACCACCATCACCACCTCCACCACCACCTCCACCACCATTACCACCTCCATCACCACCATCTCCACCACCACCTCCTCCTCCACCACCACCATCACCACCATCTCCACCTCCTCCTCCACCATCACCATCACCACCATCACCTTCACCACCATCACCTTCACCACCATCACCACCTCCTCCTCTACCACCACCATCACCACCTCCTCCTCCACCACCATCACCACCTCCTCCTCTACCACCACCATCACCACCTCCTCCTCCACCACCATCACCACCTCCTCCTCCACCACCACCATCACTACCACCATCACCACTATCACCTTCACCACCATCACCATCACCATCACCACCACCACCACCACCATCACCACCATCACCACCACCATCACCACCACCATCACCACCACCACCACCACCACCTCCACCACCATCACCACCTCCATCACCACCATCTCCACCACCACCTCCTCCTCCTCCACCACCACCCACACATACACACACAAAACATAGCATTATTCTGTCAATGTATGGAAGAGTCCAAACTTAAGATTAAAGCTGCATTTAGTCTAGTCTGTAAAAGCTGATTGCATGGGAAATGCAAGGCATAGTAAAGTTGATTTTATTGTTCTCTTAAAGGCAGATTAAACTTAGGCTGAGTACACAGTAGTAGAGCAGGCTAAATGCATGGTTTTTAAATTATTTCGAGGTGTATTATTAACTCGGTGGCAAAGTCAGACAAAAGTCGGTCTCTGAAAGCAAGAGATGTCAGAAAATGTAGCACCACACATCTGGCCTGGGCAACCCCTCAACTGGGATTCCTTTGTCTGGCTCTAGGTTGGGTCAGGTTGACAGCTAAAACTAACTAGGACGCTCCCACTTGCATTACTCCCTGTTTTTGCCCTATACAACCACGAATTTATTTTCTGTCGCCATCAATGTGTCTACTCTTGGTCTTTCTGTATATTTAGTGTCATAATATATGGCCTTTTGTGACTCACACGTTTCAGTGTGGTTATGCCATATTTTGCATGAGTTGCTGACTGGTTATTATGAATAGGAATGCTATGAACATCTATGCACAGTCATCTCATGCTTTGTTTGTTGTTGTTTTTGATTTGGAAGTCTCTATAAAACCCAGGCTGGCTGGCATCCAACTCCAGAGCCCCCTACCTGAGTCTTCCCACTGCCAGGACCCCATGCACGTACCACCATCACAAGACCTCATATATTTCTAGTTCCATTATGCCAACATCAAAGAATAAAGTTAGCCGGGCGTTGGTGGTGCATGCCTTGGGAGGCAGAGGCAGGCGGATCTCTGTGAATTTGAGACCTGCCTGGTCTACAGAGTGAGTTCCAGGACAGCCTCCAAAACAATACAGAGAAACCGTGTCTCAAAGAAAAAAAAAGAAGAAAATTAGTCATAAAAGTAATGTACATGGTCTCAGTTTCTCCTCTCCATCTTTGTCAAAACTGTAATTGTCTCATTTTAGTGTCTATAAAGTAGTATTTCATTGTGGCTTTGTTTTTTTATTTTCCTAATGAGTAATGACATGATGTATTTTTAAATGTTTTCATCAATCTCTTACACATTGTCATTAGAGAAACGTCTAGTCAGATCCTTTCCCTAGCTTTAACTGGATTACATTTGTTTTGTCTCATTGAGTTGTAAAAGTCCATCATATATTCTGTATATATCTTATTAGATATTTGATACCCAAATATTATAACCCCTCATTTCCTGGCACTACCCATTGAGACACATGTTTTTATTATATAAACACCTATCTACGGATTTTTTAAAATTCTTCTCATGCCTATGTATTTGTGGTGTGTGTGCACATTTGCTTGCTTGTGAGTACACATGTCTACAAACACATATGTACACATGTATGCATTGAGGCCCAAGGTTGATGTTGGAAACCATCCATGACCAGTCTTCTACCTTATCTTTGAGGCAGGGTCTCTCAATCAAACCCAGAGGTGACTGATAGGGCTCGTCTAACTAGTCAGCTTGTTGAAAGGATCGCCTGCCTCTGCCTTCCAAGGCAAGAATTACAGGCAGGTTGCCACTTCGACCCACCCGGCCAGTATTTTTGTGCGTTTGGGAGACCTGACCTATGGTTATGTTGCTTGAATAGCAAGTACTTTAACCACTTTAACCATCTTCCCAGACCATGCCCTATTCACGATTGTTTGTTTGTCTCAAGACAGGTTTTCCAGTGTGGCCCTGCCTGTCCTGAAACTTGTTCTGTAGACCAAGCTGGTCTAGAACTCAGAGATCTACCTGCCTCTGCCTCCCAAGTGCTGGGATTAAAAGTGTGCCCACTGCTGCACCCAGCCCCCTTTGCAACTTTTTAATGTTTGTCTCAAGGTCATATCTAAATAAGCACAAGAAGACTTTGTTCTCATGTTTCTACTGATTCTATTTTCATAGTTTTAACTTTACAATAAAATATTGGATCCATTATCAGACACTGTTTGTGTTACAAAGCTCTACCTTTATTTTGTATATGACTACCCAGTTGTATAGTAAGATTTATTGAAAGGAAACCATTCTTTGTCTGTTGTAAAAGAAAGAAAAAAATAAGTGTAGAACTCATGAGAGAAAATTTATTATTTGTATTTGAACTTTCTATTTCCCAAATCAGGAAATTTCTCTTTTTTTCAGTGTTTATGTGTGTTTTTTCTTGCATGTATGTCTGTGTACCAATCACATGCAGTGCCTGAAAAGGCCAGAAGAGGGTACTGCATCCCCTGGGATTGGAGTTTCAGATGCTTGTAAACCACCAAGTGGGAGGTGGGAATCGAATCCTGGTCCTCTTAACTGCTGAACCAGCTCTCCAGCCCCATGATTTCATTTCTTTACAATGAAAAGTTTGGACAGGTGCCTTTTCTGTCATATTCTTTGCAGTAATGACTATTATTCTGCTCTCTCTCTCTCTGTCTCTCCCCCTCCTTCCCTCCCTCCCTCCCTCCCTCCCTCCCTCCCTCCCTCCCTCCCTCCCTCTCTCTCTCTCTCTCTCTCTCTCTCTCTCTCTCTCTCTCTCTCTCTCTCTCTCTCGTGTGTGTGTGGGGGGGTCTTCATCCCTAATGCCAGATTGTAGTATCTAAGTACTGTGCTGTTAGCTTAATCCTCTCAAACGTACAATTTTCACAGCAGATGAGCCAGATGCTGAACTTCTCAGAATGCTTATAAATAGGAAAAGACTTGTGGGAGCCTCTCTCATGATCAAGCCTGTGAGTTATATCAGCCAGAATTATTTTGTGACATCAGCTGTGGATGCTGACCATCTGGTTAACACTAGTCCAGGGGAGGTTACTTTCCTACTACTCTTGAACCAAGTTGGAAGCAGTATTATCTTAATTGTGTGAGTTTAAAATGGTTTCTAATGTTTGGGTATTTTGCTGTGCTCTGGGTACTACACTAGACCATCCATGTGCATTAAATGATACAACGGGTTAGGAATATGAGGTGCATCTTACAGGTGGAGGAATGGGGGCTTTAGAATAAGATGGGAGGTATTTGCCCCCATTGAGGAAGTAATGAAACCCTGGTCTACTACTCTAGAGTTTGATTCTCTGGTTGCTTCACCAATTGCTTCCCTTTGCTGACAACCCACAAAATGGATACAGTTCTCACTTGATTGTCCCAAGAACCAATAGCGATCTGCCTCCCCAAAGCCCTCCTTTGGTATCATAAATTATCTTGGTGAATTTATCCCAAGTCAAACTCCAAACTTGATGTTTAAGCTGACCTGTGTCTTAGGGATTAACAAATGGATCAGATTGTCAAGGCTTTTGAATAAACCAGAATACCCAGTAATTATTTTTTGTGAAGTAATTAATTTAAAATATCACATGAATGCATTTGAACAAACAATGAAGTCTCTTCCTATAGAGAGCCAATAAAGAATCGAATACTGAGGTCAGGAGGTGGTGGTGCACACCTTTAATCTCAGTACTTGGAGGCAGAGGCAGGTGGATTTGTGTGAGTTCAAGGTCAGCCTGGTCTACAGAGCGAGTTCTAAGACAGCCAGGGCTACAAAGAGAAACTTTGTCTGGGGGAAATAAAAGAATCAAATTCTAAAGGATGCTTGGCTGAGGACCATGAAAGGCTTCGTCTGATGACTCATTTTCTGGTCCATCCCATCCATATCCCCAGATGGGAGGATTTAAAGCCTGTATCCTCACTCTATTTCCATAACAGGAATGAGCCTCCCATAAAACCAATATTTGAACTTTGGTTTGTATTTAATTTTTCATTTTATTAATTTTTTAACTGGGCTAGTGAAATGGCTTGGTAAGAGTCACTTGCTGTTCAACACAGTGACCTGAGTTTCACCAGGGCCCATGTGGTGGAAGGAGAGCGCAAACTCCTGAGAGTTGTCCTCTGGTTGCCACACAATGCGCCGTGGCATACCTGTGTATATGTGTGTACACATGCACACGCAAGCACACACACACACACACACGCATACACACATGCACACGCACATACATACACACACAAATGAAAATTTAGAAATTAAATGTGGAGCTGGAGAGATGGCTCAGGAGTGTTGGCTGCTCTTCCATAGGCCCAGGTTCGAGTCCCAGCACCCACATGGCAGCTCACAACTGTCTGTAGCTCCAGTTCCAGGGGATCTGTCACCTTTCTGGCCTCCACAGGCATCAAGCATGTAAGCGTTGCACAGGCGCGCATGCAGGCAATTGCCCGTAGACATAAAATAAAATACAACAGCCGCAGCCTTTGTGCGTGAGCACTCAAGTCCCTACAGTTGTGCTGACAGCTTGACCCCACACACCACCAGTGCTCTCTCGAGTGCGTGTCTCTCTTAAATGTTTGCCTCAGATCCTAACGTCTGGGGAGAAGGTGAACGGCCAGCATCAAGGGGAAGTACAGCAGCTGCGGCAGAACCTGCACCGCCTCCAAATCCTGTGCAACTCGGCTGAAAAGGAGCTGCGATATGAGCGGGGCAGGAGCTCGGACTTCAAACAGCACAACAGCTTGCTTCAGGAGGAGAACATCAAGGTGAGTCTCCCAGCAGAGCCTTTCCCATAGTGAAAGGCTCTGTGGACCAGGCTGGCCTCGAACTCACAGAGATCCTCCTGCCTCTGCCTCCCGAGTGCTGGCATTGAAGGCTTGCACCGCCACTGCCCAGCAAGCTGTTTCTTAACTCCTTTCTTCCACCTTTTCTGCTGCCAGCAGCGTGTGCATGCTCTGGGTCCCCAAACAGGAAAAGGGTTATAGTGACATGGTCTGTTGAGATCTTTATCCCAAACATGTTAACGTTTGGTTTAATTTTAGTTACTGTGCTCCCTGCATTAGCTGGATATAGCCAGGTGTATTTCTCCCCAGTAGATGTATCCGTGGAGGTGGGGGTTGGGGGTTGGTGGTCACAGACTCACAGATGGTTTTGGAAACACATGAATGTTCAGAAAAAGGCACCACATAAATAATGTATCCTTCCAGTAACAATTCAGTTCTATAAATATACATTATAGACTTGGTTTCTAATGTATGTTAGAAACCCTCTATAAGGTTCTAAACTTGAATATTCAGGGACTGGGAATGTAGCTCAGTGAGAGAGTGCTTGCTTAGCATGTTCAAAACCCTAGATTTAATCCCCAGTACTGTCAAACTGGGAGTGGCAGAAACCAGGAATGTCAAATTGAACCCTCTTAGAGAGGTTTGTTGGTTTTAAGACAGTATCTTGTAGACCAGGTTGGTCTTAAACACATTATGAAACCAACTCTGGTCTTAAACTCCTCCTCATTCTGTCTTCACCTGTCACAGGCACGTATCACTATGTCCAGCTTAACATACTCAAGCAATGCTATATCTTTCTTGTGATACAGTGACCAGAACAACACAGATCCTAATCAGCCCCTTATAAATATGTATGGATATGCAGTTTAACAAGTTACAAAGGGGAATGTCTGTGGACACCACCTAGAACAACATAGAACCAAGCCAGCATACCAGTGACTCTGCAAACTCTACTACAATCCCAGCCACCTTCTCCCATAGGCTCTGTGCCACCAGGAATCCTGAGACACTGTAGAGGATCCTCTTTGGGCGGCAGAAGCTACCCTAGAGGCAGAGGTCAGCTTTTACACCAATGCCATCTGACGTTAGTAGCATCTCTAAACCGTGCCTGTGGGCTCCATCACTGACTCTCACAGCCCTCAGCTTCCCTGACCTGTGGGAAGATTATACTTGAACATAAAAACTCCAGGCTTCCTGATAGGCCAGAGCCCCTTTTGAGAAGAAATGAAGCATTAACAAACATATTTGCTGATAATGTTAATAGTTTATCAACAACATTTCAAAAGTGCCATCAACCCTCCAACAGTATCGCCCCCATGTCAGTACCCAATAAGAACACAAGAACTGAGACATTACACTGGTTTGATGGGGAGAAAAAGATGAGTGTTCACTGGGAAAGGGGCAGTTTATTAATGCTCAATCTTGAATTTCCTCTTGGTGTTATCAGAGAGACAAGGCTAATGATCATTTGTTTCCCATTGACCTTTGACCCATCAGTTACAGGGAAGCATTTGGCTCTTAGGTTGCAATTTCTACACACTTTTCTTCTCCATGCAGCTTGACTTTTACATGTCCATTAACGTCTTTGGAGATGAAGTTTCTCTAGTCTTCAGGAATTAGTAAAGCTCATTATTTCAGAAATGTCCAACTCATAGATGAAGCGCTCTTTCCTGCATAGTATAAACAGTTCAGGTTGATGGTTTGTCTTTCTTCTTTTTAAAGGACATCGACAGGTATGCCCAAGTGGGCACACTAATATCTGTAAGTGTGACTCTCTGGACTCTGAGAAGTGAGATTGTCCAATTATGGGGCCAGTGCATAGGTTACTCACATGCTTATCTGGTCTGTTTCTATCTGCACTGTGTAAGAATCAGTATCACTGGGGCTGGAGAGATAGCTCAGTGGTTAAGATCACTGCCTGCTCTTCCAGAGGTCCTGAGTTCAATTCCCAGCAACCTCATGGTGATTCACAACCATCTGTAATGAGATCTGATGCCTTCTTCTGTCATGCAGGCATATATGCAGACAGAACACTGTGTACATAACAAATAAATAAATCTTTTTAAAAAAGAATCAATATTACTTATATCCTCAACAGTTCTTGGAACTGTCACATCTCAAAATTTATCTGCTAATCTAGTATATATGCATAGTGATAACTCCTTAAAGTCTATTATTATCAGAGTTCATAATAATACAATTGTGTTTGTGATGTATGTGTGTGAGTGTGGTGTACTTGTGTCATGGCACACACACAGAGGTCAGAGGACAGCTTCTGGGAGTCAGTTCTCTCCTTTGGACATGTAGTATCCAGTGGATATAATTCGGGTCATCAAGCTTTGTGCTCAGTACCTTTACTGGCCATCTTACCAGCCTCCGTGTGTGTGTGTGTGTGTGTGTGTGTGTGTGTGTGTGTGTGTGTGTGTGTGTGTGAAGCGTGTATATGTGCTGTGGGTCTCCAACCCAGTGCCTCAGAAGTGCTAGGCGCACTTTCTACTATTTAATTGCATCCCCGGGCCTATTTTTATGATTTTTACTTATGCCCCATCTCTAGATCAAAATGGAACTGAAGCAGGCCCAGGAGAAGTTGCTAGACAACGCCCGGGAACAGTCCTCACTCACGGCAGAATGGAAGCACTGTCAGCAGAGAGTCAAGGAGCTGGAGCTGGAGGGACTCAGGCAGGCTCAGAGCATTAAATCCCAGCAGAACCTTCAGGAAAAGCTGGCTCAGGAGAAATCCAAAGCGGCCGATGCACAGGAAAAGGTAATGATCTTCATGCTCAAGGAGCAATGCGTGAAGTGGCATAGTACCCCACGAGCACATCTAGTGCCCTGCTCCCCGAGGACCCTAAGAGACGGTTGTGTGCAAACTGGGGCAAAGGCTAATCTTTTTCTTTACTCCCCCTGTGTTTCCCTCTATTTCGTAATTTTATTCCATCTGCCCCTACCGTTCTAATAAATCTTGTATATTTTTGGGAAAATGTGTAAAGTTAAAAATTAAATTTCTGGGACCGGGGAGATGGCTCAGTCAGTCAAGTGCTTGCCACACAAGCATGAGGACCTGGGTTCAGATCCTGCAGAACCCACAGTCCCACAGTGCCTGCCTGTAATTCCAGCTTTGGAGAAACAGAACCAGGAGGGATCCCTGGACCTGGCTGGCCAGCAGGCCTAGCTGAAACAGTGAGCTCCAGGCCAGCAAGAGACCCTGCCTCAAAAAATAAGATGGAGAGAGACAGAGGAGGACACCCCTTATCAACTCTTAGTCTCCACACACCTACACATGTGCGCACACACACGTGTATACACACACATATACACATATCTATTTATAGAGAAATACAGAAATGTAAATTTAATTTAAACTATAACATGAACTTAAAACTGATTTGAAGACATAGGACATTTATACTTTTTTTAATATTAAAGAATATATTTTCAGCCGAGGGTTGGTGGCGCACGCATTTAATCCCAGCACTCGGGAGGTAGATCTCTGTGAGTTCCAGGCCAGCCTGGTCTACAGAGCAAGTGCCAGGACAGGTTCCAAAACAATACAGAGAAACTCTGTTATGAAAACAGAATGTATTTTCTCTCATTTGAATTGGCTATTTATATTTTTATTTTGTAATCTCTAAAATATAAACTTATTTATTTTATTGTGCATGTATGAGTGTTTTGCCTGCTAGAGGTTGAGACAGAAGACAGTTTTTCAGATGTTAAGCCATCATCTTCTGAGATTGCTAGCTCTCCAAGTAAAGCAAAGGTTTTGCTTTGTTGTTGTTGTTTTTTCCTGTGTAGCCTTGGCTAGCCCAGAACTGGCTGTGTAGATCAGGCTGCCCTAAAATTCAGAGATCCTGATCTACACAGCCAGTTCTGGGCTAGCCAAGGCTACACAGGAAAAAAAAAGAAAAGATATAATAAATAAATAAAGATATAATAAATAAAATAAGATATAATAAATAAATAAAGATATAATAAATAAAAGATAAAAAAAGAAAAGATATAATAAATAAAGATTTATAATACAGAATGGGAAAGAGCCCCTAAGAGCCCTTCCTGTCTCCTATCATAGGTACTTGGTATAATAGAGTTTGTTGTTGAAAAGCACCCTCCATAATATTTTACTTTTTCATCCAAGATTTTGGACCTGCAGAAGAAGTTAGACCATGCTCGGCAAACCTGCCTTTCGGATGCTTGTATTTTGCATAAGAAGCAACTGGAGGACGAGATCAAGGAAGCAAAGAGCAGTGAGTACAGGCTCCAGCAGCAGTGTCAAGAGGAGCAGCAGAGGAGGTAAGGACCACCAGGGGTGGGACTCCTAGGATGGAGGACTTAGCTGGAGCACTGATAAATTGTCTTAACTGGATTAACCTGTGAAATCTGACATGTTGCTTGCCTCACTCTCTAATATCATCTACACAAATTGAAGTCACGTTTTTTTATTCATTGGCTAATATTCTTCCACATAGTTCTGGATCATTGTAGGAATTTTTGGCATCAACAAACTGCTCAAGGGTAAGAGCTATGGGTTTTTTTCTCCTGAAAATAAACGTTATGATTCTGACTTAAAACATTCATTTGGATGCCCTGGACCTCAATGGCAGGTGCTTCTCATTTGTTTGATGTTCAGAATGAGCCATACATGTTTTAAGAAAGTATGTTATCAGCTAAAAACACACAGAGACGTTCACACATACTTTGTAACTCGGAATCTTACTTCCAGCTATAGTTAAAAGTTCTATGCTAGGACCTAACACAAAATACTACTGAGTAAATACTTGTTGAATGAATGAATGTTTGAGTATGTGACCGGCTACATGTTTGTATGCATGAGGACTGAATACATTCCATGAGATGCCATGGGAAAACACTTGCCTTACCTGCCATGTCTCACAAGATGGTGGTCTAACCTGTGCTGTTAGATCCTAGCTAGTAGCAAGTACTACTCACAAGAAAGCAGTAGGATACCCCAAAGACAAGCATACCCTGAGCTGACACAAGTCTGATGGATGATAGCGCATGCAGGTCAAGGGGTAGATAACAGTGCATTCAGGAAGTGCCAGCAAGTTTGCCATGAGTCCAAATGCCTGAACTAAGAAAACCCCCATTTAAAAATGATATGGAGGGCCTGGAGCGAGGTAGACAGATGGCTTAGTGGCAAAGAGCACTTGCTGCTCTTGCAGAGGACTGGGGTTTGGTCCCAGCACTTTACCAACATAGCCATCTTCCCAGGCCCTCACTCCTTTTCTGAGGTGAAAATCTTGCCCATGCTGGTCTCAGACTTGTGGGATCAAGAGATGTTCCTGGCCAGGCGTTGGTGGCGCACGCCTTTACTCCCATCACTTGAGAGGCAGAGGCAGGCGGATCTCTGTGAGTTCAAGGCCAGCCTGGTCTACAGAATGAGTTCCAGGACAGGCTCCAAAGCCACAGAGAAACCATGTATCGGGGGGAGAGAGAGAGAGAGAGAGAGAGAGAGAGAGAGAGAGAGGAGAGGAGAGGAGAGAGAGGTTCCTGCCTCAGTGTCCCATGTTTCTAGGACAACTCATGAGCAGAATTCTGTAGGGGACACAGCAGTTCTGTGTCATCTGTTTTTCCTTTATGAGTTTACATTGTTTACATCTTCTAATAATTTGGGCCATTCATCATCAGACTTACCAGATCTGTGGGCACAGAGTTGTTTATGATGTTATGATGACATAGTAATATCCTTTATTGTCTTTTCAATATCTGTGGGATCAATAGAGATGGTTCCTGTTTCATTTCTGGAATTAATTTCTACATTCTGTGCATCTTGGTTTGCATGCCTAGATAAATATTTGTTGATTGTATTGGTCTTTTCAAAGACCTACCTTTTGGCTTTATTTCATTTTCTCTATCTTTTTCCTGATTCCATTTATCTATCTACCCCACCCAACTCTTGACAGGGTCTCATGTAGCCTAGGCTGGCCTCAGATTCACTATATATCTGAGGCTAGCCTTAAACTCCTGATGTTTATGTTGCCACCTTCCAAGTTCTGGGGTTACATGTGTGCTACTGCACCCCACTTGGTTTGAGGCAACAGTCTCACTTTGCAGTTCAGTCTGTCTCGGAACTCACTATATACCCAAGCTTGTCTGAGACTCACAACTATTCTTCTGTCTCAGATTCCAGAATGCTGGAATTGCAGGCATGCACCACCACATCTGGCTGAGGTTCATTTTACTATTCTTTTCTTCTGCTTGTCCTGGGGTTATAATGCCAGTTGTTACTTGACTTCTTTTTTTTTTTTTTTTTTTTTTTTTTTGGTTTTTCGAGACAGGGTTTCTCTGTATTGTCTTGGAGGCTGTCCTGGAACTCACTTTGTAGACCAGGCTGGCCTCAAACTCACAGAGATCCACCTGCCTCTGCCTCCCGAGTGCTGGGATTAAAGGCGTGCGCCACCAATGCCCGGTGTTACTTGACTTCTTAGGGTGGAAACTTTGAGTATTGGTTTTAGATTTTCCTTCCTTCATATCATACATATTTTCTGATACCAGTTTCTCTGCTTCTGGTGCATTCCACGAAGTCTGTACATTCTGTTTTCATTTAGTTCAAGATGTCCTTGACTCATCATGAAACATCCTTGCCTCTGTAACACTTAGGAGTCTGTTGACTCCAGAAATCTGGGGTTTCCTGTTGATAGGGTACAGTTTCATAAATACTATCATTTGAAATTGTTGTATAGTATTCTCTTACATAGTGACAATGAATCTTGGTTGTCAACATGAATGGCTTTAGAGATGCCCAGAACATTGGCAAAACATACATCTGGGTGTCTGTGAGGGTTACTGGATGAGATTAGCCTGTGGCTCAGTGTACTGAGTGGGAGATACTCACTCTGAATTCTCAGCAACTTCCAAAAGTCCAGGGCCCAGATGGGATGGAAGGTGAGAGGAGGAGAAACTCACTCCCCCAAGGGAGCTGTTGTCACTAAGGGCATCAGACCCTGGGCTCCTCAGCCTTTAAATGTGGATCTGTACCAGCAGCTCCCCAGGGAGCTTTTAGACCGTTAGCTGGAACTGCGGCTTTGCTGCTGACTGTGCTGCTGACTTCTTTGTATTCTGAGACTTCTGGCTTAGACAGAGCAGCTCTGAAGCAGTGGGCTGTTGTGAGTCTATCTAGTCTCTGGCCATGTGAGTTCATGCCACATACCCCCTTCTGTATATATTTAATTGGTTCCATTCTCTAGAAACCTCCGACTGTACACAGAAGTATAAGTTATATTGAATGGTTGATTGGTTGTCTGAAACAGAATTTTGCCATGTTGCCCAGGTTTTGCCATGGACTCCTGACAATCTGAGTTCAATATCAGAAACTCACATGGTAGAAGGAGAGAACCAATGCCTGAACATTGTCTTCTGACACACACATGTAAGCTGTGGCACATGCATGCACACATAGATGTAATTTAAACTCTTAAGAGGAGTTTGAAACCAGGCAGTGGTGACTCACTCCTTTAATCCCAGCACTCAGGAGGCAGAAGCAGGTGAATCTCTGTCTACAAGAGCTAGTTCCAGGACAGCCTCCAAAGCCACAGAGAAACCCTGTCTCAAAAAAACAAAAAAAAAAGAGGAGTTTGAATGCTGCTATAATGAGTAACCCTGCCGAGACACTCTAACTGGAGTGATATGTGGCAAGCATCATGCTACAGGAGGTTCAGAAGGTTGTGAAAGCCCCTCTCAGGACCATCTGTGGGACTGAGGGCTTGAGAAAGCCTTCCTCAGTAACAGCCATTTAAAGTGAGAGTGAAGCTGAGAGGCGAAGATTAGGATGAGGAAGGAGGACGGCAAAAGGTTGCCTGGGTTTGGGAGAGTAGTCGCTGGTGAGAAAATGAGCCCAGAAAGTCAGGTGGCCTGGTTCACTCAGAGGTGAAGGACAGGCCACACTGAAAGTTGGGACTACTCTAAGAGCAAGGGCGAGCCACTGAAGGATGTTATGAAAGGGATGGGGGAGTTTAGAATGTAGCTCAGTGGTGGAACAGTTGCCTAGCAGTCATGAGACCCTGGGTTCAACAGCCAACACCAGGATTCAGTTGTGAGTTAGGAAGAAAACTGTCTCCTATGTAAATGATTGATTCGTGAAGAGAATCAGGCTATAGAGAAAACAGGACCTTGTCAGTCTCAAGCCTGCTGAAATTATCTGTTTGGTGGTTCCTAGGAAATCTGTAGCAAATCCTTGAGTTGCCCTTTTGATTCTGACTTCCCATTTTTCAACTTCCATTTGAACTCCCAGACTGCGTTGTAGATAACCCAAGGTCTTCTCAGATCTAGCAGCTCAATATCCCTTCAGTTCCAGGACTTAACGCTTCTCCGGGTCCTTGAGCCAAAACTAGGGATGGAACTGTCACTGCTTTCTGTCATCTCCCCAATTCTGAAGACATGTCTACAGAAGAATTCAGATGAGACCTGCAAAGTGTGCCATTGAAGATAGGCAGCTCATTATATATAGAAAGGGGGAGACACGGGCAAAAGGACAGTTGTGTCAGTCTACATTTGAGGCAGCATTTGTCCCATCCAGACTGACAGGCCTGTCTAGACTGACCTTCCAGAAAGAAGGCAATGGTACTTTCTTGTTCTTTATCAGAATGTCTCCTGCTACACAGTAATCTTGTAAGGTTTAGGGCTCTCGAGATCAGTTTCAATACGTATTATTAAGGATGTTGCCCATTAGTGCTATTTCATCATTACCATCATCATATTCTTCGAGATGAATCTCCTGGATGCAGAGACTCTCGGTTTGAAATCCTCAGAAAGTCTTTCCATGAACTGTAGCTTTTGGCCAGTCTCTCTGAAAGAGCAGGGACTGATGCATTCATTAGGACAGGTGAATTTCCTCACCAATGCAGCTCATCAGTCCACAGTCAGCTGTAGCAGGGTACCAGCAATGTGTGGAGCCGAAAGATTGCGGGCTCAACCTGTAAAGGATGAGGGAAGAAGGAACATGGATTCAGGAGTAGAACCCTGTAACGTGTACTCTTCTGGCCAGACTGGTCCCAGAGCTGCGTCAGTTCCAAATGAACACACAGGACACCATATTAATTATAAAGCTGTTGGCCATTTGCTTGATTTCTTATTGGCTAGCTCTGACTTAATCATTAACCCATAATTACCAATATATATTTTTAAAGGGATTTATCTTTCTGAGAATGCCAGACTTGCATTCTCTCCTTCAGGGATCACATGGTGACGATCCTCTTCACTACATTTCCCAGAATCCTCCTAGACTCCTAGTCCCACCTATCTTGCTTCCCTATTGACCAACAGTGCTTTATTTACATTTACACAGAAGGACTTCCCTCATCAGAACCCCACGTCGGTCTTGTCCTTGCTGTTCTCAGTGCCACATTTTTCTCATCTCTGCCATAAGGAAAATTACTTCTTCCTCATGGGCCTGTTTTGATGGCATGAGGAAGAATTAAGAAGATTCTGTTACGTAGGGGCTCCCTGCACAGGTCCCCTTATTGTGCAGACTCATAACTGTATCTCACTCTACTGGACCCACAAGCCTCCTCTTTTTTATTTTATTTATTTATTATGTATACAATCTTCTACCTGCATGCCAGCAGAGGGCATCAGAGCTCGTTCAAGGTGGTTGTGAGCCACCATGTGGTTGCCGGGAATTGAACTCAGGACCTTTGGAAGAACAGTCAGTGCTCTTAACCGCTGAGCCATCTCTCCAGCCCCAGCCATCTCTCCAGCCCCACACAAGCCCCCTCTTGCTGGCACAGAAGTCACAGGTCTAGGAATCATGTGCAGAGAGCAGCAGTACTCAGAGTGATCTGATGTGCACTGATTGCTCTCAGGGTACTCCTGGACCAGGAAATAAATGAGCTCCAGAGGCAAGTGAGAACCCTGCAGGATAAGGAGGACCAACAGGAAGCAACCAACTTCCAGCAGCAAGAGGCTCTACGCAGACAACTGGAAAATGAGAGAAGGAAGTATGAAGAGGTAAGAAAGTAGCAGACATGCTTCCCTGTTTCCCTAATTCTCATCGACTGAAATATGTGTCCATCATTGCTATTGCTGTTTAGCTAATTATCATTGAGTATACTTTATCTACTGAATTTATTTATATCCAAGTGGAGGGAAGGGAAATACGACTTCCCTGTAGCCTTCTGGGTTATTTGGCTAGGCTATTAATTAAATTGGCAGGAGCTGATGAGAGGGCTCAATGGTTAAGAGCACTGGCTGCTCTACATCTTCACCCACATTTCTTATATCTATGAAGTCAGTCAGACATAATTTTGATCTTCAAAAACTTCGTAGACCTGCAGAATATGGCATTTAAATGTTTTAATATTAGTACTCTGTTGACATGAGACACAATTGCTCCTGACAGCACCAAGATATTCCCAAGAATAAGTTGGGCACTGATGTTGCTCCTTCCGGAGTCCATTCTGTCCTAATGGCCTCTTGGGCAAAGAACTGCCCCCACCTTGACCACTGCCCTACTGTGCTTGCTGGAGATAAACTTAGAAGACTGCTGAACCTTGCCAAGTCAGGGTAAGACAGCCTTTCTACCTCCCTGCTTCTGTGTTGGCCAGTCAGATAGATACTCTAGGCCTTAGCCAAAGCTGGTTGCCCCTACGCTGCTGTGAGACCTTGGGTGACTGTCCAGGTAACCTGCTGTTTCTGTCTTCTCTGCACCTTTGGAAGTTGCTTGCCTACACTTCCTGCCTACCCTAGTATTGTTATCCTCCTTCTCAGGTCTCTGATGAGGTTGAAGATTAGACTGTCACAATTATTATTCTTTCTCCCTAGGTAGAAGTATTAGGTACAAGACTTAAACTTTCCAGCTTAGGACAGCTCTATAGTAATCTCTGTTATGCCTTTACCCTAGGACTGGGTATATAGTTCCTGCCATTTGCTCTAGTTGCTTCACTGGCGATAGGTCTTATGTGTGTTTGTTCTTACTTTTCCTTCTCCTAGAGCATACTTGGTATTTGCTATCTTTGTATATACTTTTGTATCAAGCCTAAATCTTTTTCTTTAGACTAAAAGGGGAATTGTAGTGAGAGATCTTACTAGGTACCTGTAGCACCCAAACGGGCATGGTCACAGGTGTCTATGTGAGTGTGTGGGATTTTGGTCTGGGGTCAGGGGCAAGCTTGTTTTCTCTGGGTTCCAGTCGGGTCACAGAGGGCAGTTGAGCTTGGATCCTCAGAGTATTGATTCTGGGTTATCGGTTTCTCATGTAAGTGATTTCTCCCCAATAAAACTAACCTACATCATCCCAATCCCATGTATGGGGATTTGTACAGCCACAATTAAGAGCATGGGCTGTTCTTCCAGAGGACCTGAGTTTGATTCTGAGCACCTACGTGACAGCTCACACCTGTCTGTAACTCCACTTCTAAGTGATCCTATGTCTTCTTCACAACTCCTCAGGCACCAGACACACACGTGATGCAGAGATATGATGCAGGCAAAAGATCTATATAATAAAATAAAGATGAAGAAGATATATACATACATATACACTCTGGCTTTCCCAGTTACTCTGTAGACCATGCTGGCCTCAGATTCATAGAGTTCACTTGCCTCTGCCTCCTGAGCACTGAGATTAAAGGTATGCACCACCACTGCCTACTGGACTTTCATCTGTGTCTGAGACCACCCCGCCTCACTCTACAACTCTTCCACATGCCCTCCCACAGCTTGTCTCCGCTGTGATCCTTAGGTTCCAAAGCCCTTTCTAGATAGCTCAGGATGTGGGGCAAGCTTTGGACATCTGACCTGTTTTAAGTCTCATGTTTTGTGGGATACACATGCAAATACATGTAATTAAAGTGGCCTTACTCCTACTAATTTGCCCTATGTTGATTCATCTTTAAAACTGGATCTTTTTTGCCGGGCAGTGGTGGCGCATGCCTTTAATCCCAGCACACAGGAGGTAGAGGCAGGCGGATGTCTATGATTTCGAGGCCAGCCTGGTCTACAGAGAGAGTTCTGGGACAGCCTCAGCTACAACAGAGAATCCCTGTCTCCAAAAAAACCAATAAAACAAATAATAATAATAATAATAACAATAATAACTAGGAGGCAGAGACTGGAGAATCCCTGGAAATTCAAGGGCCAGGGACCATGATGAACCCAGTGTAGACAGCAAAAAGGATTCTGTCTGAAAGAAGATGAAAAGACCAGGACCATCCAAGGAAGTAGGTGTCCTGATCAGGGTCACCACTGCTATGATGGAACACCATGACCAGAATCAAGTTGGGAAGGAAAGGGTTTATTGGGCTTACACTTCCACAGTGCTGTTCACCACTGAAGGAAGTCAGGGCAGGAACTCAAACAGGGCAGGATCCTGGAAGCAAGAGCTGATGCAGAGGTCACAGAGGATGTGGCTTACTGGCTTGCTTCCCATGGCTTGCTCAGCCTGCTTTCTTGTAGAACCCAGGACCACAGCCCAGGGATAGAACCACCCACAATGGCCTGGGCCCTCCCCCATCAATGACTAATTAAGAAAATGCCAGACAGCCCAGCATTGGTGGTGCACGCCTTTAATCCCAGCACTTGGGAGGAAGAGGCAGGTGGATCTCTGAGTTCGAGGCCAGCCCGGTCTACAGAGTAAGCCAGGATAGCCAGGGCTACACAGAGAAACCCTGTCTTGAAAACAAAAAAGGAGAAGGAAGAGGAGGAGGATAGAAAATTCCCTACTTCTGGATCTTATGGAACCATTTTCTCAGTTAAGGTTCCCTCTTTTCAGATAACTCTAGCTTGTGTCAAGGTGACACTAGACAGCACACAGAGGCATACCCTGTTCTCTGGTCATGTTTTGGGGTGGTGTGCCCTGAGCCCCAACACAAACAGGATGGTATTCCATGCATAAGGAAAAATGCTTGCAAAGCTGCTGGATAGGAAGTCAAAAGTTCCTGCTGTGGGCTTTCACTCTGGCTTCGGGGGCTGTGATGCCCTCTTCTGGCCTGTGCTAGTTTGCACAGAGACAGACACATATACATACAGAAAAGCAGAATACCTCAGGAAACATTGGTTTACTTGGTTGCCTGCTTATTACAAAAGATCACAAATCAGAAACATCCAGAAGGAGGAGACGGCCAGGAATGTGGGACGAAACACAGAGTGTATGTGTCCACCCTGTGCATCCATGTGTTCACCAACCCACAAGCTCTAATCCCTAACCATGTGGAATTTCATGGAAATGTCTGACTCAGGGTTCTTTACAAAAGGAATTTGGAAGTGACCCTACTCCATCATAACCACAAATAAAAAGCTGAGCAAGATGAAAAGTTTTAACAGTACTTGATCCATCAGAGAAGTGGGGTCACAGGATCTGTCTTAATTAGGGTTTCTATTGCTGTGAAGAGACACCATGACCATGGCAACTCTTATAAAAACAAAAACAAAAGCATTTAATTGTGATGGTTCACTTATAATTCAGAGGTTTCATCCATTATCATCATGGCAGAACATGGCAGTATGCAGGCAGACTTGGTGCTGGAGAGGTAACTGCTACATGTTGATATACAGGCAACAGGAAGTAGACTGTCTCACCGGGCATGGCTTGAGCATATATGAGACCTCAAAGCCCACCTCCACAATGACACATTTCCTCCAACAAGACCACACCTCCAACAAGGCCACACTTCCTAATAGTAGTGCCATTTCCTTTGGGGGCCATTTCTTTCAAATGCCCCCTGAAATTGGAGAGACAGATACAATGCCATGGAAAAGCCCTGATGAGAATTGGGTAGGAAAGCCTGCACCAAAACTGATGAATTGTTAGAGGCTCAGTGTGAAAAGAAAATTCTGAGAGATGAATATTCCAGGGGACTCTACAGTTTTGAGGCCCCCACACTTTCATGGGTTTCACACACACACACACACACACACACACACACACACACACACACACACACACACACACACACACACACAGAGGTTCTAACTGTGAATATTTGAGGAATCTCTCCCTGGTCTCCTGCCAGGAAGTGTACTGAGGAGGGGGACATTCAGAGTTTCTTAATAAAGGAAACTTTTTAACTAGAACCTAACATGGTCTGGTTCTGTCAGAACCTAACTGACCCAGGACAAGACAAACATGCAATTTCAGCCGACCCTGTCCCCATTTAAATGGAAGAAATGAAGGCAGAAAGAAGAAGCATGTGTAGGGATCATGGTTCAAAGGTGTAACTAACTGGAAGATTCGGACCTAATCATAGGAGCAGAGAATGTGGCCCAGCCCCCTTGTCTTACCACCAGACATGAATACCTGTCTCTAACAACTTCCTTCATCATGTCTGTCTATAAAGAAAAATTCACAAGATACACAATTTGAAGAAACTAAGTAACATGGCAGAATCAAGACCCAAATATGATGGGTTAAGATTATCAGAAATGTAAAGCACCTGTGATTAATATGCTGAGGACTCTAAGACAGAAGACACATGACATTTAAGAAGAGATAGGCAGTAGCAACAGAGACAGATGGAAAATCTAACCACAGTGGCAGAGGTGACCTGCGACAGGGCTCTTAGCATGCTGCACACAGCTGAGGGAAGAACCCTGGATCCTGAGGAAATCACAACAGAAACCTGGAAACCAGTGAGCAAAGGGAAGCAGACGACCCAAAAACCACACAATCAATACAGGAAGTGTAACACATGAGGGAAATACTGGAAAATCAAAGAAAAAGAAGAAACACTTGAAATAATTGAGAATATCTGGAAGTTAATGGCAGATACTGAACCACAGATCCAAAAAGTTTAATGCCAATCAAGATGAGTGACAGAAAAACTACATGTAGGTTCATAATGTTCAAACCAAAGTTCAAAGAGAAAGGAAAAATCCTGCAAGAAGATAGAGGAATAAAATACTATCTCCAACAGACAGTTTTGGGAGTTTGTTGCCAGTAATCCAGTTTTGAAAGCAATGTTAAGAGTTTTTTTTAGGGAACTTGGGCTGTGGCAACTCATGCCAGGTGGTGCTAGGTGTATCCCTAGGCTCCAGGCTGTTGTGGGGCATGGGTAGCAGGCACAGTCGGTTCAAAGCACGAGGTGTCAGCAAAGGCAGCACACCCATGGTGGCAGGGGAGAGCATGGCTCAGCAGTTGGTCTGGGTGAACCCGGAGAAGACAGAATTGGACACTGAGAAGGATCAGATTATTGAGATGGCCTGTCTGATAACTGACTCAGATCTTAACATTTTGACTGAAGGTCCCAGCCTGATTATTGAGCAGTCAGCGGAGTTACTGGACAGCTTGTCAGACTGGTGCAAGGAGCATCATGGGATGTCTGGTCTTTCCAAGGCAGTGAAGTAGAATACAATTACATTGCAGTGGGCAGAGTATGAATCTCTGTCCTTTGTATGACAGCGGACTCCCCTGGGGCTCTGTCCACTTGGAGGGATTTCAGTCATGCAGATAAGAAGTTTCTTGACAAATACCTGCCCCAGTTCATGAACCATCTTCATTACAGAACAGTGGACATGAGCACTGTTAGCTGTGCAGAAGCTGCTCTCCAGAGTATGAATTTGTTCCAAAGAAGACTGCTTCTCACAGGGCACTGATGACATTAGTGAAAGCATCAAAGAGCTTCAGTTTTACCTAAAGTAACATCTTTATGAAAAGTGGGAAATAATAGAAAATGGAGAGATGAGAAGTCTGTGAGTTGATGAAAAGTGGGAAATGACAGAAAATGGGGAGATGAGAAGTCTGTGAGTTGATGCCATTTCTCAAGCTGCATAGCCCACCTAGTTCTCCAGAAGCCACTTTAGTGTCTCTGCCCTGCTAATGACTCAGTGGAGCACCCATTCTAAAGAAAAAGTAAATGGAATAATAATATTCCAGTTAACTTTGCACCTCCAGAACCCTCAAACAGACAACGCATCGCTATTGAGGAATGTAACAGTACATGGCATGAGGATGTTGTTGGTTATTTATTGTGGTAAGTTACTTACACACCATAAACCCATTCTAGTCTCTGCAGCCTTTTGAGACCCGTGAAAGAGAGCAAGTGCCCCTCTCCTCAGCCCTTTATTCCACGCACCCTGTACGCACCTGTGACGGTGCCCAAAACAGATGTGGTCAGTGCCACAGGTACCGAGATCTCTCCCTATAATTCCCCTTTTAGTCTAAAGAAAAGTTTTAGTCTTGAAACAAAACTAAACTGTGTCAATATACAAAATGTCTTAAACATATGTAAAAGCATATATACATAGAAGATGATAAGGATATTTATGCACCAAACATCGTAAAAGACCTTACACAGTATGACAAATTGTGAGATACAAAATATCCAAGAAAGGAATACAACTTGATCATACATTATATGAGAATCTATAACAATGAAAGTTGTCTATAGCTAATGATTTCTAAGGTAAAGAAGATATAATAATCTACATATATCCCATCCTAACCATATCTATTCCACCCAAACCTTAAACTTATCTGAAAGAGATACCCAAGTCTGAACACCTCCTTCCAAACCCAACCCTAAGCAATTGAAAACCAACCCTAAACAGGTGTAAATTATCCCTTAGTGTCAACAGTAGGGAAATGGAGCATTGTATTCGTAGAATTACTTCCTGCTGAAATAGAACAACAATAACCTCATGGGTTCCTGTAGGAAGAAAATGGTAAGAGTAGTGAAAGTCTTTTGTACCTAGTCTCTGTTAGGCAGGAGATGTTTGACTGAAGTTCTATCTGAAGTTCTGGCCAGAGTATAATAAGAAGGTGCACCGTATCAGCTAGCTAGTCTGGAGTTGTCTAGAGCAATGTAGTCCCAAACTGGTTTTAGGGTGGTAATTGTCAGTTCAGACGCATCAAGTTGGATCAAGTGGAATCAATGAAGTGGGACCCCATTTCCTTTTCAGAGAGTTCAAAGATTGCTGGTAGATAATTCTTTGTTCACTGTGGAGGACTTAAGCATTAATGTTAACAAAGAAATTTCAACTTTATATGTATGCATACGGGAGAAGCAACAATAAGGAAGATAATAAATATGAGGAAAATTAGGTTTTCAGAGAAAGAATTGAGTATAGACAAATGACAGTCCCTAGATTTTGTTTTCTTCTGTCTTACATCAATTGTCTTCTTGATATAATAGAACAACATGTTTGGATTTAGAGGAGGAAAGCCAAATCCAACTCCAAAGCCAGCATTGGTTTAAGTGAATTGGGACTAAAAGAGTACTAGGAAGTAAAGAGAAATAGATTTTGTATAGAATAGTGGTAGAGTTTACCATAAGACCGATTCTCCTTTGTTTGATGGTTCTTTTTGGATAGCTATCCTCTCTTCTTTAATTATCTACGTGTTCAGTGTCTTTTTGCTTTCTGAAGATGGGTTTTCCTGTTAAGACAAAACCAAAACACTTCCCTTTCCAGTGTGAGGTCTCCATGCAATTCGTGGGATGAACTGTCATATTTCCTCATCCTGAGATTTCTCCTGTTCAAACCGAATCTTGATCAACTTTGATGGTATCCAAAGCTTTTCTTCTCCTGTGGAAACAGAGGCGAAACCCCTTCTCCAGCGTAACACATATCCTGGTTTCCATACTGCGATCAATACACCTTTGAAATACACTGGCTGATTTAGTTCAGAAGTTTTTTCTATTGTCCAGTGTCTTTCTGTGGCTGTTTGTCCTTTCTCATTAGCATTAAGAAAGTTTAATGTTAATAAAGCATTATGTAATCTGTGTTTGGGGGTCTTTGTTCTCCCTGCCTGTTTATAGAGCATTTATTTTAAAATGTGATTAGGTCTCCCAACCATTGCTTGTCCTGTGGAATTGTGTGGTATACCAGTTACATGCATTATAATATTTGAAAAACTGTTACAATTTGCTGGAGACATATGCTGGAGCATTGTCAGTTTTTATTTGTGTAGGTATACACATAATGGCCACTACCTGTAATAAAAGAATCAGCCTTTTCAGAGCTAAGAGTAGTGGCCCATTGAAACCCTGAAAATGTGTCTATTGTATGTATGATGCACATAACCTGCTGTTTCTGTTATGACACAGCAACTCCCTCTATAAGCTTCAGGCCATACCCACCCCTCAGTCCATATCTGCATTTGCTTACAGACCACTCCTTTTGTTTGAAAAATAAATAATAAATAAGTAAAAATAAAGAGAAAAACAAGCAAAGCAATAACAAAAGCCACAAAAAGACAAGAGTCTACCTAAAGAAAGGAAGCCAGCCAGATGGCTCAGTGGGTAGAGAATCTTGCTGCCAAGCTGCAGACTTCTAAAAGTTGTCCTCTGACCTCCACATGAACCCCAAGGTACATGCACACACAACAAATAAATAATTATTCAATAAATATGAAAAGATGACTCAGTGGTTAAGAGCATGGACTGCTCTTGCAGAAGACCCAGATTCCATTCCCAGGATCTACATGGCAGCTCTAGATCTATTGCCCTCTTCTGGCTTTCTCAGGCATAGCACACACATGGTGCACAGACATACATGCAGGCATGATCACAAGCCATGCACACTCAGACAAATAAAAATGAAATATACTTCAAAAAGAAGGAAGGACATCAGAGAAAGACTAAGACAAAATGGAAAGTTTTTATTTTAATTTATCTTGCATAATTTGTTCAAAATGATAATGGGAGGGCACTGAAGAGATGGCTCTGAGATCAAAAGCACTTGCTGCTCTTCCAGAGGCCCTGGGTGAGTTTCCAGCACCCAAGTAGGATGACTCACAACCATCTGTAACTCCAACTCCAGATAAAAGATTCTTTTTTTTTTTTTTTGCCTCCAAGGACACTTGCCTGCTTACAGATGCATACAAATAGACATGCACATTCAGGAATGGAAAAAAGTAAAACTTTAAAAATAGTTGAAGGGCTGGAGAGATGACTCAGTGGTTTAGAGCACTGACTGCTCTTCCAGAGGACCCAGGTTCAATTCCCAGCACCCATATGACAGCTCACAACTGTCTGTAACTCCAGTTCCAGGGAATCTGATACCTTCACACCAATGCATATAAAATAAAGTTAAGCAGGGCGGTGGTGGTGCACGCCTTTAATCCCAGCACATGGGAGGCAGAGGCAGGCGGCTCTCTGTGAGGTCGAGGCCGGGCTGGACCAACAGCCTCCAAAATAATACAGAGAAACCCTGTCTCGTAAAAAACCAAAAAATAAATAAATAAAATAAAATAAAGTTAAATAAATTAAGAATAAATAAACAAACAAACAAATATAGGTGAAATAGGGACTGGAGGGATGGATCAGTGGTTAAGAGCACTGGCTGGGCCAGGCGTTGGTGGCACACGCCTTTAGTCCCAGCACTCGGGAGGCAGAGGCAGGAAGATCTCTGTGAGACCAGCCTGGTCTATAAGAGTTAGTTCCAGGACAGCCTCCAAAGCCACAGAAAAACCCTGCCTCGAAAAACCAAAAAAAATAAAAAAAAAAAAGGAAGAGCACTGGCTGCTCTTCTTAAAGACCCAGGTTCAAGTCCCAGCACCTACATGGGGCAGATCACAATTGTCTGTAATTCTAGTTCCAGGGGATCTGGCTCCCTCACACAGACATGTAGTGAAAACACCAATTCACATAAAAACAAATAAACCTTTAAAAAGTATAGAAATATATACTATTTTATACACATGTAGTTTGCTTATATGTAAGGAAAATGGATGTCAGCAGTGATTAAAAAAAAGATGGAGAGAGGGACTGCAGTTGTCTTCTATTGCAGTGTCCTTGCACTGCCTGTGAGGTGGTATAGCATTATGTGAGGTGAACTTGAGATCTACACATGGTATCACATGCTTTTAATCCCAGCACTTGGGAGGCAGAAGTAGGCCAGCCAGGTTAGCCTAACAGTGAGCCCCAGGCCAATGATGGGCCCTGTATGAAAAACTCAAGGTAGATGATGACTCAGAAATAACACCTGATTGCCATCAGACCTACACACACACACACACACACACACACACACACACACACACACACACACACACACACGCCCTGTCCCCACATGAATACCATTAAAAAGGAAGGAAGGAAGGAAGGAAAGAAGAAAGGAAGGGAAGAAGGAAGGAAGGAAGGAAGGAAGGAAGGAAGGAAGGAAGGAAGGAAGGAAAGAGATATATCTAGAACTTGGGCTGGTTATAGGTATGACAATTGTTAGGGACTAATTGTAAAAACTAGAAAGAAGCCGGGCGTTGGTGGCGCACGCCTTTAATCCCAGCACTTGGGAGGCAGAGGCAGGCGGATCACTGTGAGTTCGAGGCCAGCCGTCTACAAAGTGAGTTCTAGGACAGCCTCCAAAGCTACAGAGAAACCCTGTCTCGAAAAAACAAAAACAAACAAAAAAACTAGAAAGAAAGCTGATAAGTTCAGAACAAAAAGGAAAATGACAGTGTATAAAATGTTTGGTTAAAACCACAAAAGGTAGGGATAGCACTCTGGAGGCAGAGAACTCTTTAAGTTCAAGATCAGCCTGGTGTACACAGAAAGTTCCAAAGCAGTCAGGGCTATGAAGTGGGATCAGCCAAGATGCTGATATAAGAGGGTTGTGAGTTTAGGTCATTCTGGGATGCAAAGCAAATACACTATTTCAAAATACTCTGCTATCAAAAAAGATTCAATATGCTTATCCATCACGGTGACCAAAGAGGCACAACCAGATGATTTGCCATAAGTCCCTGGTGCCTATGAGCAGTAACAACACCCACCCACACCTAGGATTTAAGTACTGCTCTGTAGTACTGTGAACCCCACTAAAATCAGGGAGCTATGTGGTTAGAGACAACTCCCACCTTGCTTTGGGATCAATAATGGTGGATGAACTGGTCACCTGTGGTGAACTATTCTAAAATCCCTACCTATATCAATTTTTGGTTTCCTTCTTCCTTGTGTCTAAGTATAACATCCTAATGCCATTTAATATAGGTGGCTGCTGAGTCTAAGTTCCAGTCAACCAACCTAACTATTTAAAGACACTCTTAGAGGTTCAGATTAACATTTCAAATCCAGGAACTGGAGAGATGGCTCAGTGCACTTGCTGCCTTTACAGAGGACTGGAGTTCAGCTCCTGGCACCCAAATCAGGGAGCTCACAACCCACATGGAACTCCAGCTCCAGTGGATTCAGTGCCCTCATCTGACCTCTGTGGGTACCTGTACCTGCATGTATGAATACACACATACACAACATGCACGTATACACACAACATACATATATACACAATACACACACAACATATATACACACACAATATGCACATATACACACACAACATACACACGTTCATTTAAAATAAATCATTAAAAATTTAAATTCTGGCTGGGTGGTGGTGGCACACGCCCTTAAACCCAGCACTCGGAAGGCAGAGGCAGGTGGATCTCTGTGAGTTCAAAGCCAGCCTGGTCTACAGAGTGAGTTCCAGGAAAGGCTCCAAAGCTACACAGAGAAACCCTGTCTCCGCTGGGCGTTGGAAGTGTTCTCCTTGGAAGTTCATTGACTTGATCAGAGGTGTCTAGTTCACCCTACAGACCTTGGAGTTGTCAGTTCCATCACAGCTGTTAGTTGAGTGAATCTGTTTGCATCTCTGAGGCAGAAGACTTGAGAAGGCTGATTTCTCCTCATGGTGTCAGAGGTCTCTGTCCCTGGCCTGAGGCAAAGCATCATGGTGAGAAATTCCTGGTGAAGCAATTCCAATGGCAGCCAAGAAGCAGAGAACTTAGGGGAAGGAGCTGTATCTTTCCAGGCCATGCCTGGGGGTCGCTCCCTCTAGCTAGGCTCTACCTCAATGAATCCAGCAAAGGGTTATATCATCGAGCCACCATGCCTTTGACATGAACCTCTAGGGGGATGCTTCATACAATCTCCCAAAAACACTTCCCTACAGGCAACCATTAGCTGATAATGTAATCAATTCTTTTGCTAGGTGCTTAGTGACAATGGGGTCAGGCTACAGGTTAAGAATCCCTAATCAAACAGGATCATGGTGTCTCAGCCTTTAATCCTAGCACTAGGGAGGCAGAGGCAGGCAGATCTCTATGAGTTGGAGGCTAGCCTGGTCTACAAAGCAAGTTTCAGGACACAGAAAAATCCTATCTCGAAAAACAAACAAAATCCCTAATCCAAAACTCTGAATCTAAAATGCTCCCAAATCTGAAACTTTTGGAGCCAGACATGATGCCTATCGTCCCAACTATTTGGTAGGGTGAAGCAGGAGGATGGCTTTTAGCCCAGGAGTTCTGGGTCATTCTAGATACTGCAAGAACCTGTCTCAAAGCATGCACAAATGCTGAAGATGTTCTGAATGCTGACATGCCACTGCTTGTGGCTAGCCCCACACCTGACCTCATGTGGTGGGTCACAGAAATATAGCAGGCTATGCGAATGAGGCGTGTGTGAGACACAAATGAGTTTTGTGTTGGCCTTGGGTCCCATTCCCAAGATAGCTCATTATGTAATTGCAAATCCCCCAAATGCTGAATGTCTTTTATCTCGGGCATTCTGGATAAGGGGCACTTGGCCTGAACATTCCAATCTAGCCAGCTCAGGTCCCCACTTTGAGTTTCTATCAGTGAATTCATTTCTAGACACAAATACCTTATGGGTCAAGGTTAAGAGACTTTCTTTAATTTATGCGCTCATGTCATAAAGAAGCAAATGGTCTCCTTTTTTCCTCTCACACCACACCAGTGAACACAGGAGTCTCATGTGACCTCAAGGATGTGTGGCTTTCTGCCCACCAGCAAGCCAGTGTGTGACCAGAATCTGGATATCTTTTTGTTTGGTTGGTTGATTGATTGGTTTTGGTTTTTTGGACAGGGTTTCTCTGTGTAGCCCTGGATGTTCTAGAGAGCCATCTGTAGACCAGGCTAGCCTCCAAGTCACAGAGATCTGCCTGCCTCTGCTTCCCAAGTGTTGGGATTAAAGGTGCACCACCATTGCCCACCTAGTTGGATATCTTCTAATTCAATTCAATTCTGACACAATTGCCCTGGGGACTATTTCATCAGATCTCATAGATTAGGGTTCAGTCCTCAAGACTTCAGACCCAGTGGCAAGTAAATGCCACCACATGTAGGTTTTTTTAAAAGATTTATTTATTATGTATACAGTATTCTGCCTGCATGCCAGAAGAGGGCACCAGATCTCATTACAGATGGTTGTGAGCCACCATGTGGTTGCTGGGAATTGAACTCAGGACCTCTGGAAGAGCAGCCAGTGCTCTTAACCTCTGAGCCATCTCTCCAGTCCCACCACATGTAGTTTTGTGCAAGGCTGGACATCCAACTTAAGACTGAGTGCCCGCTAGGCAAGCACTCAACCAGCTGAGCCATACCCTAGCCTGGCCTACAGAATTTCTGACAAACTAGAAATGGACTTGATCAGTCACTTTGCTAGGACACTCACACAACACAGTGAGTTGGAGGCTAGCCTGGTCTACAAAGCAAGTTTCAGGACACAGAAAAATCCTATCTCGAAAAACAAACTTCTGTTTCCTTGTTTGTTACGAAGGGCATTTTAAAGGATAGAAATAAGCAACCAGACAAGGACAACATATAGGGTGAGGTCAGAAAGGGTCCTGAGCAGGGAGCTCCTGGCTCCCTGCAGTAAGAGTGAGCCAGCTCCCAGCATGTGGAAGGGTACTGGGTCATCTTCTGGCAAGCCCCTGTGTTCAGCTGTCCCTGGGCTCGCCAAATTCTGGGCTCTGGAGTTTATGTGAGGGCTTCACTTCACAGGTACAGACTACATCCTTTCCACTGCCACCCCTCCCCTCCATGTTTTTCAGTCTGTCAAGAGCAACCAGGAACTGTCGGAGAAGTTGTCGAGGTCACAGCAAGAAAAGGAAGCTCTGTGGAAAGAACACGGGAGGTTTTTGGAGCAACTTGGTGAGCATGTGAGGTAAGCAAAGCAGGTTCCCATGGACAAGCAGGGTACAGAGGGCTGTTCTGCCAAAAAACAAAAAACAAAAACCTCGGAGCAATCGCACTGATGGGGCCATCAACATGACTTCCCAGATTAATGTGACTTCCCAGTCCCATCTACATACACACTGTTCCAAGGAAGATGTAGGGCCCAATTCCTTCCCAAGAAGAGGGACTTAACTGTTTACTGAGTTGTCTGTCTGTGTCTTGCTTTCTCCAGATATACCCTCTCACCATCTTCAAGGGTTTTCCCTACATTCTTTAATGCTTATTTTTTTTGCTTGTGTGTATATGTGTGGACCTACATGTATGTGTTTATGTGCACCATGTTGGAGCCCTTGAAGGCTAGACAAAGGTGTCAGAACGTCTGGAAAAGGGGCTACTGGTGCTTGTGAGCTGCAGTGTGGGTGCTGGAAACTGAACTGGTGTCCTCTGGAAGAGCAGCTGGCATGCCTAACCATTGAGCTACTTCTGCAGTCCCTCTCGTGTTTCCTTTCCTCGGGCTGGACAGTATGTGCACCGGACTCCTGACAACCAGGGAGCTCAAAGATTTATACTTGGCCAGTCGCATTAGCAATCATTGCCAGGTCCCTGCCTGACTCCATAGCAGAGCCTTCCTGGGACCTCTCTGAAGTCAAGCACAAGTCTCATTCTTACTGCTAGCGGCAATCAATGCCAACATGCTGGTACCAGCCTGCTACAGAACTCCCTGTACTGGTGGTTACGAAACCGCACTATTTTACTCGGTGTATTTTGTGCCTTGACCAGCAGTTGGCACCAAACGGCACAAAGAGCAAAAATGCAAGCAGGAAGGCTTTTGTGGCTCTAGACCTGCTGGAATCGGTCATTCCACCACAGTCCTGATTCTCTTTGGAATGACTCAGTGACCCGATGATTGAATAGTGCATTCAAAAGCATCCTGCCTCTACTGCCATCATGTTGGAGGAGTTGCTGTTTCTCCACATCCTCCTTTGTGGGAGTACCATGGTTGAAGGGGAAAGGACCTTGATGAAAATGTCCTCCAACATTCTTTTGATGTATACAGAATATGTGTCCAAAAAGCAAATATATAATTCAATGCATTTTTACAAATGTGTGTGAATATGTGTGTGTGTGTGTGTGTGTGTGTGTAACTCCCACCTCAGTCAAGATGCAGAACATGTCCCCCACTGCTTAAATGTCTCCCACCTGTGGGTTCAACTCCCACCTCAGTCAAGATGCAGAACATGTCCCCCACTGCTTAAATGTCTCCCACCTGTGGGTTCTGCCATGCTCCCTCTCCTTTGTCTTCCTCGGGCAGCCACTGTTGTGATGTCTGCGTTTTACAGATTTCTCAATAGACCCACTTTGCACGTTATTCTCTTCATGTCTGACTTCTGTCACTCAACATCTTCCATTATTTACATATGCACTCACAGCCAGGTCCTTCCATTGTATTTTGAGTGTGAGTGTGTGTGTGTGTGTGTGTGTGTTACGGCTGTGAGGTTGGATAATTTTCCATGTTACTTATGCATGACCTTTAGAAAAATGGATCCAACCCTGGCTGCATGTACTTGGATACTTGTATACATTAACTTAATCAAAACCTATGGTTAAAAAAAAACCAAAGTTTTTCCAAAGCATCACCATGTGGTTCTAATATGTATCCAGGTTGACAGCACAGATCTGTGGAGCACAGTGAGCACCAGGCTCGTTTGGTTTTCTGTCTCCCTCATCCCAGTCCTCATCTTTGCAGATAAATCTTGTGTTTACACACCTTCCCAACTGCTTTTTCATGGGAACTAATCCCTTACCTTTTGAAGTCCTGGTGTCAGGCAAGCTGATTTTACCTAGGCACGAGCTAAAAGTTTCCTTATGAGGCTGGTAGTTAACAAAGTCAGAAAAACAGAAGCTGCACATTCTTTGGGCAATCTGACCTAGAACCTGAGGCCACCAGTGTCTAAGTCAGACTGCAGTAGTCATGGAAGCTTCTGGGTTCTTCCTGGCTATAGAGCACACAGATAAACATATACACACATATATACAATAGCCAAGGCACCATGTGTTCACAAACCCACACACAGATAAATATACACATAATTTTACAAACTAGAAGGAAAAAATATGACAATACTAAATATATTGGAAATCAGTTAATTAACCTGTATTGGCAAAACAGCCACTCTTTGGTAGAGAAGCTAAAGATTGGCGATTTTAATTAGTTTTTGCTTATTTTGTTATTTTATCTGTATGAGTGTTTTGCTTGAATATATGTAAGTGTGCCACATGCATGCCTGGTGTCCTCAGAGGTCTGAAGAAGGCATCTGGATCCCTGAGACTGGAGTTATAAACAGTTGTGAGTCATCACATGGGTGCTGGGAATCGAACTGGGGTCCTCCACAAGAGCAACAAGTGCCCTTAACTGCTCAGCCAGTGCTTCAGCCCAAGATTGTATTTTAATAGCAAGAATAAGTAGAAGAATGTGTGTTGTGTGTCAAATGATGTCAAAACATTACTGGGTATCATGTGTCAGCCCTAATTGGTAGAGGCAGGAGGATCAGGAGTTCAAGGTCAGTGAACATAGCCAAGTTCAAGGCTACCCTGGGCTACATGAGACACAGTGTTTTAAACAAGAAAACTGTCATGATTTTACTGGCTATAGTGGCACACACTTACAATCTCAGCACTCAAAGTGGAGGCAGAAGGATCAGGAGTTCAAAGCCAATCTGGGCCACATTGTGAGACACTGTCTCAAAAACAAAAGAATCTGTTAGAGCCGCTGTGAATGCCTGGAAGAGTTAGGGGGATGGGAGGAGGGCGGTATGCACTAAGATGCTCTGATGAGTCTCAGGATGCTGACAACCAGGAAGAGTTTCCACCACTCGTTCCCAGTGCAAGAGGAAATGAGATTGTTTGTGGGAGGGGATAGTCTTCTTAGGAGCTGAAAAGTATCACAGAAGTGTGCCTCTCACACTATGTAGCAGGTGCTGTGCAGGGGCCATGGACTGAATGGGTCTGTGGCAAGTTTATGAATGTAGCTATCTATAATGTGTGCTGTTAGTTAAGGTACTGCATGGGAAATTGAACATTAATGGCTTCAGAGACCACGGGCAGCTCAGTCAGTAACATTACATGAGGACCTGAGCTTAGGTCCCCAGAAACCATGTAAGAAGCCTATAACCTTGGTGCTGAGGGAGGGGGAAGACAGGCAGATCCCTGGAACTCACTGACCAGTCAGCCTAGTCAAATGGGTGAGCTCCAGATTCAGTGAGAGACCCTGTCTAAATATAAAGTGGAGGCAACACCCAGACATTGACCATTGACCTCTGTACTCAACCACACATTTATGCATACCTGCATGTACACATGAACACACACACACACACACACACAAAGCAGAAAATATAAAAGTGGGCATAGGGCGTTGGTGGCGCACGCCTTTTATCCCAGCACTCTGGAGGCAGTGGCAGGTGGATCTCTGTGAGTTTGAGACCAGCCTGGTCTACGGAGCCAGTTCCAGGACAGGCTCCAAAACAATACAGAGAAACCCTGTCTCGTAAAAACCAAAAAAAAAAAATGTGCATGGATTTACATAGCCACAAAGAAAGCTAGACAAATCAAGCTATACAGAAAACCAATTTGGTTATTTTTCAAGACAACTCTTGCTCAGCCAAAACCCATGGATTCTGTAATGATAAAAAGAAAACTGTGGGAGTAGGGGCTGAAGAGATGGCTCAGAGGTTAAGAGCATTGGCAGTTCTTCCAGAGGTCCTGAGTTCAATTCCCAGCAACCACATGGTGGCTCACAACCATCTGAAATGAGATCTGGTGCCCTCTTCTGGCAGCAGGCATACATGCAGGCAGAACACTACATACATAAAAAATCTTATGAAAGACTCCAAAACTACACAGAGAAACCCTGTCTTGGGGGAAAAAAAAAGAAAACAGAGGGAAGTGAGGGAGGGAGGGAGGGAGGGAGGAAACCAGGGGCCAGCCAGAAGGCTCAGCTGGTAAAGGTACTCACCACTAAGTCTCATGACCTGAGTTCAATCCCTAGAACCCACTTGGTAGAAGGAGAGAACCAACTCCTCTGACCTCTACATACACGTTGTGAAAAAGTGATACTAAAAATATTTTTAATGTAGAGTATAGGTCAGCACTTGAGAGAAAGACAGAGTCAGGTGGATCTTTGTGACTTCAAGGCCAGCCTGGTTTCTATCAAGAGTTCCAGGTCATCCAGGGATATATAATGAGACCAGGTCTCAAAACAAAACAAATAACAGTATAACCAGGAACTAGAAGTAATAATTCTCAACATTGGAGTAGGATTCAGAATTCCTATGCCAGGGATCCAAAGTCCAGGAGGTTCCCGAATTAAACTCGTGCACAAACGCTGTCATCAGTTCAAGCCAGGGTGATCCAGAGGCTTGAGTTTATAGGGCTGGCTGAAAAGGGGGGGGTTATTTCGGATTCATCCCCACATGGAGTGAAGATGTGAAACAAGAAAGCATGCACATTAAAGGTCCATAGGTCGTATCCCAAGGAGGTCCTGCTTGTATTATGGCATGCTTATCCTGACTTTTGCTTTTTTAGAAACTACAAAGACAAACACCACTGCCACAAAGCCAAGTTTCAAAAGGTCAAGGACCGTCTGACTCATGAATTAGAAGTACGAAATAAGAGGATTAAAGAACTTGAAGATGAAACCAGGAAACTGGAACAAAAAATTGAAATGGTGAGAAAAACAAAAAAAAAAAACCAAACCAGAGGGCGGTGACTCTTCTCTTTACCCATGGCCCTGGCTTTTTCTTTTGGTTTTTGGGTTTTGGGTTTTTTGAGGGGTTTTTTTTTTTTTGGTTTTTTTTTTTCAAGACAGGGTTTCTCTATGGCTTTGGAGGCTGTCCTGGAACTCACTCTGTAGACCAGACTGGTCTCTAACTCACAGAGATCCACCTGCCTCTGCCTCACAAGTTCTGGGATTAAAGGTGTGTGCCACCACTGCCTGGCTCAGCTTTCATTTTTGCTACCACCTTTCATCTTTCAGTGTGAGGACTACTTTTTATTTTCATTTTTTGGATTTTATTTTTTATATTTTTTTGGTTTTTCGAGACAGGGTTTCTCTGTATTGTTTTGGAGGCTGTCCTGGAACTCACTTTGTAGACCAGGCTGGCCTCGAACTCACAGAGATCCTCCTGCCTCTGCCTCCCGAGTGCTGAGATTAAAGGTGTGCGCCACCAACACCCAGCTCACTACTTTTTACTTTTAATGCATGTGTTTGTATGTGTACGTGTGTGTGTGTGTGTGTGTGTGTGAGAGAGAGAGAGAGAGAGAAAGAGAGGGGGGAGGGAGGGAGAGTCTGTGACTGTGCATGTGTGTGTGCATGTTTGCTTGTATGCAGATGTTAGGCGATAACTTCAGGGGTCATCTCCCAGAGCCTGCCTGGTGTGCCTCCGTTTTCTCATGGGCCTGGTACTAAACTGGCTGGACAGAATCGGCCCAGGAATCCCTATCTCTTTAGCACCCAGTGCTGGGATTATGAACCCTCAGCCATGCCCAGCATTTCTGGGTGGGTTCTGGGGCTCAAACTTGGGACCTCACGCTTATAGGGAACTTTACCAACTGAGCTAGCCTCACCAGCCTGAATGTGAGGAATCCCTCAAGGACCTGCAAGACTTTTAGGGCTGCTAACCCAAATAGCATATTGAAGGTATTCCTCTTCACTAGTGATTTGTAACTGTCTCACTTTCAAATGGAAAGATCAGTCTTAAGGCTGGAGTGATGGCTCAGGAGTTAAGAGCACCTGCTATTTGGTTCCCAGAACACCCATGGTGGCTCATAAACAACCTTCACTCCAGTCGTAGGGGATCTGACACCCTCTCCTGGCTTCATCAGGCACCAGTCATGTGTATGCAGGCTAGGCACACATATACATAAAATAAAAATAAATCTTTTTAGAAGAGTCTTTTGTGTGTATATGAACATGAACCTAGTTAGACAGTGTCCCCCAAATTCATAGAGTACCAGATGCAGCCTACCATTTTGGAAAACCTGCCTTTGCAGGTATAGTCAATTAAAATGAGGTCACCCTAGATGAGAGTGAATTTGAAGTCCAAGTGCCTGTGTCTTTGTAAGAGGAGTGACAGAAGCAGAGACAAGGACACATCCCATGGCAAGGAGCACCCCCATGAGAACAGAGGCGGAGAGGAGAAAACTATGTCTATAAACCCAGAGAACGTGGAGGATGCCCCACAACCATGCAACAGGAGGAGGCTGGGAACAGCGTCCCTGTGAGGGTTTAGGGTGCAGCCCAGCATAGAGCACTTCCCTAATGGGCACAAGGGCCTGGGTTCAACCTCCAATACTGATAGGGAGACCTGGGTAACCAAAACTAACCTGGCAACATCTTGTTTCCAGACTTTAGCCCCCTAGAACTGTGATAAAATACATTTCTGTTGTCTAAAGCCACTAGTTATGTGGTAATTTGATTGTCTAAGGAATGGTGAGGAGGCTAAGTTCTTATCTTTCTCTATCTGGCTAAAAATGAATATAGCTATGGGCCAGCCAGATGGTTTAGTGGGTAAAGGCATTTGCTGCCAAGCCTAACAACTTGAGTTCAATCCCTAGGACCCACATGGTGGAAGGAGAGAAATTATTTCTGCTGCCTATACTTAGACTTCCACATACATGTTGTGGTGCACACCCATACACAAATAAATGTTTGAAATAAGTCTACAAATTAAAAGAGAACACAGCAAGTCAAGCATGGTGACACATGCTTGTAATTCCAGCACTCTTAGCGCTGAGGCAAGAATATCACCCTAGGATATATAACAATTCCCTTTCCAAAGCAACAACAGCAAAATATGTACAAAGCAGATGGAAATGTATCCAGGGGCAAGATTTTATCAAAACATAGGATTCAGTTGTACTTGCTGGTGGCTTAATATCTGTAGGGATTATAATACAGGGAAGACACCGTTTCTTCCCAGAAATTGAGTGTCACAGTGTTTATTTTCTTTTTTGTTGTTGCTTGTTTGTTTGTTTGTTTTGCATGACAGGGTTTCTCTGTGTAGCCTTGGCTATCCTGGAACTCACTCTGTAGACCAGGCTGACCTCAAACTCACAAAAATCTGCCTGTTTCTGCTTCCCAAGTACTGCACCTAAAGGCATGCGCCACCACTGCCCAGCCTGCCTTGGCATTCCTGATTGGGAATGCATGCATTCCCTAAGGAAACACCACCAACAGGAGGGCATCTGGTATAACTAAGGATGATGCCAGCAAACAGGTGCCAACAGATTGGGGCACGAGAAAGAGAGAAAGCCAGAGTTCCTGTTCAGACCTGGGAACAGACTGAAGCGCATTTATGTATATGTTATTCTTCTTCTCCTAGGAGAAGACGTTCCAGGGCCAGATCATGACCCAAAATGACATCCTCCTCCTGGAAAAGAGAAAGCTTCTAGAACAAGTCACAAATCAAGAAGATCTGATCTGCAGGAATAAGTCCACAATCTCTGCGATCCAGAGCAAGTAGGTGCAGTGGCCACAGTGATTCTGGAGACTTGGGGGGGGGGGGGTCTGGCCAGTCCTGTGAGCCTGTTCTGCTGTCTTCTACTTGCAATAGTTGGTGCAAGTGTCAGCCACTGTGGCATTAAAGAGGGTGACATGGGGGTAGGGGTTGCATGGGAGTGATAGAGCATATGCTTAGCATGTGTGAGGTCCTGTGTTCGATCTCTACACAGACAAGGAGGGAGGCAGGGAGGCAGGGAGGCAGGAAGGGAGGGAGGGAGGGAGGGAGGGAGGGAGGGAGGCAGGGAGGGAGGCAGGGAGGGAGGGAGGGAAGGAGGGAGGGAAGGAGGGAGGGAGGGAGGGAGGCTTTTTTAGCTATGCCTCTGATTTCTGCCATGTTTAGGGCGTTTTTACTGGATAAAGAAAACCAGCAGTTGCAGGAAAACTGCCTCCGGCTCAAGCAGCATATCAGTCTCTTAGAACGCGTTATAAGGAGCATCCATATTCGCAGAGCAGAAGTAAGATGCGTACTTTGTACTGGGTCCTAACTCTTAAGGTTTGGCTCATGGGCACACCCTGCCCTCTCTTGGCTTGATGATCTTAGAGCCACAGCCTGCTCCTGGCTGCACAGTGAGCTGTGGCAGAGAGGTTCCTCAGGGGCACACGGGGCAGCAAACCTGTGACTGTTCTTGGTGAACCCTGTTCATCATTGGGCCAACTTTAATAACACTTTTATCTTGTGTGATCCCAAAGCCATCTGTGTATGCCTCTCAGCATCTTTCTTAACATACTACATTGTCTTACCCTTTTCCTTCTCTAGATCAGTAACTCAGCAGCAGGGTCCTAGAGAGCAAGAACTGTATCTCATACATGACCATATCTGAGGACAGGCATAGCTCATACATGACTGTATTTGTGGACAGATAGAACACATACTTGGCCATATCTGCAGACAGATGCTCTATGCTTTGAGAAGGAATGGATGTTAAATGTTGTCCCAGATATGCCTCCTTCTGAACAGCCCTGTTTGCAGCGTATTATTCTAGCCCTGTTTGGAAAGAAAGAATAACAAATCTGAGGCTTGGAGTGGTCAAGTAAAGCTAGTTTAGTTTGTTAACGAGTCAAGACTAAGGAGAGCAACTGGGTCAGAGGAAAACATGTTCCAAATTCAAACAGACACATGGCTAAAGAGAATTGCAAAGAATACTATAGGCTCAGTCGAGGTTCAGAGACTGGCTGGGGAAGACTGAGGGACTTCAGTAAGCATAATCAGATGCTGGACCCAGGGTAGAGGCTGCTTCCTCCCTTCCCTGGCGTACATCACCTTCAAGGCTTCCCATTGGAAGATGCTTCTCCACACATATGGGCTCTGTTGCTATATAATCTGCATCTTGGTTATTCTCACAAAGGTGACTACTTCTAAGCTACATGAGGTATTTGTTTTCTAGTTGTCATCCAAAGCAGAACTTATGTGACCTGATTGCCAATAGTTTCTCTATTTGCCTGAGTATTTTTCCAAACTTTCTATATATCCATTCATTCATTCATTCATCAACCATTAATTCCAGCAGCTGGGTTGGTTCCTCGAATACAAAGAGGAGCTGTGTTTTCATATATTTTCGCTCCAGTACAGAAAGGCGCACACACATGAATAAATATGATAGGATTACAAGTTGGAGTTAGAAGACTACATGGAGCCCGGGCATGGTGGCTCACACCTGTAATCCCAGCACAGAGGACCCTGAAGCAGGAGGGTTAGGAGTTCAAAACTAGCGTCTGCTACTTAAAGATTTCAAGGTTGGCCTGGAGTACATAAGATTCCGTCTCAACAACAACAACAAAAACAAAACAAAACAAAACAAAAACCCAGCAACAACATACATGCATTCGACACCAACAAAAACCAACATGCTGGACTGATAGGGTGGCCTTAGCTTGAAGACCTGAGCATTCCCTGGTACTCACATGTTAGAGAAGAGAACCAAGTCCTCTGTCCCACACATACACACAAATTAATTAATTAATGTAATTTAAAATTTTTTTAAATAAGCTGGGCTGACAATGTGTAGTGTGTACACACTCATACACAATTAAAAATATAAAAACAGGGCTGGGCTGAGTGTGCAGCTCACTTAGTTAGTAGAGCGACTGCCTGGCATGCACAAAGCCCTATCTTAAAACAAAACAAGCAAGAAGTCGGACATGGTGGCACAGGCCTTTAATCCTCTGCCTCTGGAGGCAGAGGCAGGCTGATCTATGTGAGCTTGAAGCTGGCCTAGTCTGAACAGCCTGGGAAATTCTAGGGCAGCAAGGTCTACACAGTAAAACCCTATCAAAACAATACAAAGCAAAAAAAAAAAAAAAAAAAAAAACACCAGGGCCGGGTGCTAGCTCAGTCGATAAAGTGTTTGCTACATGAATATGGGGACCTAAGTTGGATCCCAAGCACACCGGCATGTGAAAGCTAGATGTGGCATCATGCCTCCACTGCGCCTGTGATCCTCGAACTGGGAAGCAGAGATATGAAGCTCCCCAGGGCTTGCTGGCCAGGGCTACACAGTGATACCTGTCTCAAAATAACTAAATAAAATATATTCAATGGAGTATATACAAGAACGCACACCTTTGAGATCCACAATCTTATCTTCAAATAAAGATAATAAATGTCATATGGTCAGAACTGTACTACACCGTGCTCAATAGCCTGAATTTAAGAGAAGCACCCACTTGAACATCTTGATACTACTGAAACAAACAACTCCAAAGTTGCTCTTAAGCATATGATCTTAAGAAAACCCCAATTAGGCCGGCGATGGTGGTTCATGCCTTTAATCCCAGCACTCGGGAGGCAGAGGCAGGCGGATCTCTGTGAGTTCGAGGCCGGGCTGGACCGACAGCCTCCAAAACAATACAGAGAAACCCTGTCTCGAAAACCCTAATTAAATTCCTGTATTTTATCCAGAAGAGAAATAAAACTTAGAGAGGAGGCATGACATCTGAGGCCTCCCTTGCAGCTGTGCTCACATATTCCAACCTGATGCTCTGTAGTGACTCTAACACACAGCCAACAGTCCAAGTGTAGGACTTGGAAATCAGACATATCACTGATATCCCTTCCTTAGATTCAGTGCTTCAGTGACTAAGAGGACGAGAGCCCAATATGTATTAAGTACAGTGTGCCCATTGCTAAGCTAAGTGTGCTGGATGTGTGCTAAGTGGGTTTATATTATTTAATTTCACATCAACACTGAAAAATTAGACATTATCTTAACATTAGAGATATGGGAACCCAAATTCAGGTAAAGGGGTCTGTTACAATATAACTCAGAGACAGGATCAAGCCTAGATCTCCTCAGCTCAATAAAATTTCTATTTCATTAACACTTTCTCTAAATGGTTTGGGTTTTGTTTTTCTTTCACGTATAAAGTTGTGTGACACTATTCCTGGGGAGACATATACAAATGTCTGCTCACCCTATTGTGAGTATTCACCAGAGAAGACTGTTCAGACATAGGTTTAAGCCAATAGAAAGCCTTTATTAGCTGGGAAGTAATGGTGCACACCTTTAATACCAGGACTTGAGAGGCAGTGGCCAATGGATCTCTGAGTTTGAGACCAGCCTGGTCTACAGAATGAGTTCCAGGACCGCCATGGCTACACAGAGAAACACTGCCTTGGAAACCAAAGCAAACAAACAAAATTATTGGCCAGCTGGTGATACACTGAGTGTTCAGGATCCCACTGTAGCACTGAGCCTTTCATTTAAGCACAAAAACCATGTACCGGTTGACATACGTCACTTAACAAGAACAGTTAACCAGAAGTGTAACTATAGAAGTTAAAAAGCAAGGTTAGTACATTTAGTTAGGGACTTTCCTAGAACTATGGACTTTGATGGATTAGGTCTCTGTTTTTGTTTTGGCATGTGGTGCTGTGTATGTGCTGAGTTTTATGACCTGAATGATATTTCCATCATTGAGTCAATTGTGCTAAGGACTGGGGTTGTTACAACCCCACAGGGAATTAATAACAGACCAAAGTATGGAGATCACCAATGTCTGTCTTGGTGAACCAATGAGTTTGTTAGGGTTACTTACAGGAGTGTATGAGTGAGGGGTCTCTTACAGGAGCAGAAATGACTAAAAGACAGTTGCATCAAAGCCCACCCCAGCATGGGTGACAGCTCACAAAAGCTGGAAACCTAGAGCACACTGAACAACCTACAGCAGCTTGACAGGTTGGAGAGTCCCTTCCAGGCAGCTCAGCTGGTCTGATTGTGTCTCTTAGCAATGCTTATAGTGTATCAGCTTGGAGATTAAGGGGATTAGTGAATCTGGTCCATTTCAGGGATCTCCTGAAGCTTTTGAGTTGTTTAAATCCTAAATTTAAAGCACTTGCCTGTGAGATGGCACATTTCTCCACCCTTTTTAGAACATCCTGAATCTTAAGGACCATCCCTCTAAGGTGCAATGTTTTAGTTCTTGCTAAAAAAAAAAAACAATATATAAGCTTATCATTCCCCTTAGGGTTACTGAGAATTTCTTGTCTGAAATACTTGGTATATAGCAAATGTAAAACTGTGAAACAGTTCAGGGAAACCAGGAAACCCCTGTAAAATCTGATCTGTGTTCATCTGTTTTTGTCATTATTATTATTGTCATTATTGGCCCTGTTGGTTTATGGGATGACTGTGACAGAGTCCCCTACTCTATGTCCTTGGTGGACTGGAATACACTCTGTAGTACAGGTTAACCTCAAACTCACATTGATCCTCCTGCCTCAGTCTCTTGAGTACTGAGATTATAGGCATGAGTCACCATGGTTAGCTTTTACCTTTTTTTCTGGGAAGGGACATTTTATTTATAAAGTCATAAAGCTCACAAGAAAGCTATATATGACAGGCACAACTAACATGGGACTCAGGGGTAAAAGCTGAAAGCTTTCCTTCTAAGATCAGGAACAAGATGAGACATTTCTGCTCTAACTACATCTATTCAGTGCTGGAAGTCCTTGATGGGGCAACTTGGCAAAGAGGCTTCCAAATAGGAAAGGAAGAAGTGAAAGTGTCTCTGTTGGCTGGTGATATGATCTCACATAGGGAAAATCATAACTGCTCCATATTCCCTCTAAAATTGTATTAGAACAAGAAAAGAATACAGTCAAGTTGCAGGATCACATAAAAATCAAGTACTTCAGTACACTAATGATGACTTATATGAAAAAGAAATCAAGAAATAAGCCAGCACCAGGTGGTGGTGGCCGTATGTCTTTAATCCCAGCACTTGGGAGGCAGGGGCAGGTAGATCTCTATGAGTTCAAGGCCAGCCTGGTCTACAGAGTGTTTTCCAGGACAGCCAAGGCTACACAGAGAAACCCTGTCTCTAAAAAGAAAAACAAAAAGAAAGAAAATAAATAAACAAGCAAGATTGCTCAGCAGGTAAACAGGTCTGCTGCCAAACCTGACAACTGATTCCATCCCTAGAATGCACACGATGGAGGGAGAGATCCAGCTCCACAAGATGTTTTGTGACCTCTACACCCAGAGACAAACAAATAAATGTAATGGGAAAAGAAATCAGGAGAGAGATTAGTGGTAGAATGTTTGTCTGGAAAACTCAGGGCCATAGTTCAATCTCTACCACTGCCTCCCCCTCAAAAGAAAAAAAAAGGTTTGGGCTGGGGATATAGTTGTTAGAATGCTTGCCTAATATGTACATGGCTCTCAGTTTGATCCCTAGCAATATGTGTGTGTGCAATATATATATATATATATATATAGAGAGAGAGAGAGAGAGGCTGAGAGAGAGAAAGAGAGAGAGAGAGAGAGAGAGAGGCTGAGAGAGAAAGAGAGAGAGAGAGAGAGAGGCTGAGAGAGACGAGATGGGGAGCAGGGAGAGGAGAAAGGCAGACAGAGGAGAAGAGGGGAGAGCTGTGGGAAGGCATTGGTAGGGGGAGGGCAAGCAACTTTTCATTCTATACCTATTTATATTTATATTACTTGTAGTATCTTGTGTTGTTTGCAGGCAGTAAATTAGTTTTATGAATCATTGTCTATGTTCTAGGATCATATTGCCAGTGTTTTATCATTATAAAGATTGAATAGGGCTGGAGCAATTGTTTAGTGGTTATGAGTAATTGTTGTTCTTACAGAATTCCTGGCTTTACTTCCCAGCACCCACATCAGATGGCTCACAGCCACCTATAACTCCAGCTCCAGGGGATCTAACACATGTACATACCTACATACATACATACATACATACATACATACATAATACATATGTGTGTACATATGTATGTACATATATATTACAAAATAATAAATATTTTTAAGGCTATAATATTTTTTTCTTTTAGGAAACAGTAATCAGTGACAATGCTGCCTTTGAAATATTCAGAAAGATACTACCTTTACAGAGTTCCAGGTGAGTCATTTACATCAAGACAGTCATTATCTGCACACTTGAGATGACTCCTTACTGGTTCTGAGTAACTGGCTTGAGAAAACACAACTTTGAGTTTTGTTTTTTCTCTTTCCTGTATTTAGCTTTTGAATCTGCCCCCAGTCCCTGTTCTCCTCACCCCCTTTCCAGTCCTACAGAATGGGGATTTCAAGCAGGAGATAATCTATGAGCGTGGGCTTCCAGCAGTCTTTGCTTTGTTGTTTCTTTGATCCTGACAGCTGTAACATGCTGATGTCCTGTAACATGCTATAGACCGGTAACACTAAACTTCTGCCAGGAAGTTTATGTCTTCACACGTGGCCTTTCTCAGTTTCTCAGGAACAGGGTTGGTATTGTCAGTTGAAAATCTCCAGGAGACAGAGCTACGTAAGTCAGAAGGAGCAGCAGCCATCCCCAAGTCCCCTGAACCTCTTTCATGTTCACAGAATTCAGAAAGTGGATATATAAACGTGACTTCTCTAAAAGATACATACAACACACAGGGGGACCAGAAGCCAGGACTATGACACCCCTGGTGTCTAAAAGAGTACTAATTGAGCCTACCAACTCAGAGGGTGAATGTAAAGGTGCTAACTGACCTGGAATAGTCTCATGCAACACCCTGGACAAGCAACAAGGAGCCTTTAAAACTGCTGATTAAACAGTCATTAAAAATGTTTCTAAAAATGGAGTTTTTGTTTGTTTGATATACCCACTAATAATGACGCTTTCTTTTTACTTTGTGTGCATTGATGGTTTGTCTGCATGTGTCTATATACTCTGTGCATGAAGAGACAGAAGAGGGTGTTGGTTCCCTTGAGACTGGAGTTGCAGACAGCTATGAGCTGTCATGTGGGCACTGGGAATCGAACCCCAGTCCCTCTGCAAGAACAAGTGTTCCTAACCACTGTAACATCTCTCCAGTCCTAAGAAGATAATTTCTAAAAATAACTTTAAAAATACTGCACCTGACAAGATTAATATCTAGTAAGTACAAAACAATGTTCTCAGCATTGGTCATGGTGGGGAGGGGATTAGCAGACAGTGAATAAATTCACTGTTTAGACCATGCAAAAGTGAAGTTTACTTAGTACTTGACAAGGGGCAGTGGAGTGGACAGTAAGAGGAGTTGTAACTTAACCGTTCTTATCAAAACACATTTCATTTTTGAGTTAATCACTTACTGTCCTTATTCAACTATGTTTTTGTTTGGGGACATTTGAGACAACATCTCATTCATAGTCAAGCCTCAAATTTGATGGGCCAGAAGATGATCTTCCTGTCTCCACCTCCCAAACACTGGGGTTGCAAGCTTGTTCCACCACACCCTGCTAATGCATGTATTTTTATTAGACCTCTGAGAACTTCAGTGTGTTTTGAGTATAATCATCCCCTCACCCATCTACTCCCAGAGCCACCCCCATACCCTGAGTACCCAACTTGGTGTTTCTCTTTTTAAAGCTCATTGAGGCCAATTTGTGCTGCTCATATGTTCCTGGGTGTGTGGCCTTCCAGTGAAGCATGGACAACTTAGCAGTTGCTACACTTTTTTTTTTGGTTTTTCGAGACAGGGTTTCTCAGTATTGTTTTGGAGGCTGTCCTGGAGCTCGTTCTGTAGACCAGGCTGGTCTCGAACTCACAGAAATCTGCCTGCCTCTGCCTCTGGGTGCTGGGATTAAAGGCATGAGCCACCAATGCCTGGCCAGTTGTTACACTCTTAATGAAAACTGATTCCCTCTTTCCCAGCAGCTATCAATTGTCAATAGCTCCTTGAAATAAGGGTTGTTTTTTTTTTTAAAGTAGCCATTGTCATATTATACATTCATTGTAGTAGTTTTCTGTGATGCCCAGGTGAGGATTCCACACTGAATGAATACCTTCCTCAATGTCTGTAGTTTTTAGGATTAATGTTTATTTCTGTGTGAAGTGCACGTGTGTGTGTGTGTGTGTGTGTATGTGTGTGTGTGTGTGTGTGTACGTACTGAGATCAGAAGAGGACATCAAGTAGCTTCCTCTATCATTTACCATCTATTACTTGGGATTCACATTTTTCTCAGGTATCCCGTGAATATCCCATCTTCACCCTTCTTGAAGCTAAGATTACAGGTATGTGCAGGATACTCAGTTTATCTCATGGGTGCTGGGATGCTCTGGTCCTCCTCCTAAACCATCTGTTCAATGCCAGTTCCAAAAGGATATGGCAAACCATGTATGTAATCCCAGCATTTGGAAGGCTGAGGTAGGAAGATCGTGAGTTCAAAGCCAGCCCTTGATACACAGCAAAACTGTCTCAAGAACATTTAAGGTGAAAAAATATTTCCGAACAGACATAACTCGAATCAAGGCCTTAAAGGATGTACCAATCTAACATCTCCAAAACCGAGAGGGTAACTAATGAGAGTGGTAGAAGAGGCTAAGTACTGTGGGGCCTCTACTTTCATGTCTTAGCTACCAGTGGTGGCAAATAGGCGGCATTCAGGGCTGCATATACACAGCTGGATTTATTTTAAATATGCAAAGCCCCCCCCCCCACGATTTACAAGCGCAAAGGTGATTTTTTAAAACTGCAACTCTGGGAAATGAGTTGGAAGCTTGCGACAGAAATGAAATCACACCTCCAGTATCCTGAATGAGCCAGCCTATGTAACATAACGTTTTAAAATATGGAGGGTGACTCAGAGGGTTCTGCTCTCCTGGGTGCCCCCTCGGGGGAATGTGGCAGGGGACACCAAGTGTGACGGCTCAGCAAATGCTGCCTGATGGACACTCATTTGTACTGCACTAGTACAGTCATGCGAGCAGGGAACCGGTCGCCTTTGGCAAAGATGCCTGCGCTTCCTCGCTTCTGCAACCTTCTTCCCCCATCCCCGCCTTCCCTTAGAACCGACCAGCGCCTCAACGCTAGCTTCAGCCTTCCTCGCAGTCCGCGCCGCACTTCCGGGGGCGGGGCCCAACCGCGGTCGGTTCCCACTGCGCCTGTGCTGTGGCTGAATTCCCCGAGGCCGGTCGCCGGAAACTGGACTTCTACTTCCGGGCCAGAGCCATGGCGGTGGCAAATTCAAGTCCAGTGAATCCGGTGGTCTTCTTTGATGTCAGCATTGGCGGCCAGGTGAGGTGCGGGAGGCTTAGCTGATCTGTGCGGGCGGGCAGAACACGGGCGAGGGAGACAGCCGAGGGAGCCCTTCTAGCCCTCCCGAGACTGGCTGGGCCAGGGCGTCCGAGGTGGGAGCTTCCGAGCTGCGTGGGCTGCGGTCGTGGACTGAGGCTTGCGACTGCCGTCCCTTGCAGGAAGTTGGTCGCATGAAGATCGAGCTGTTTGCAGACGTGGTGCCTAAGACGGCAGAGAACTTTAGGTAAGGAGATGCTCCACTGAATCAGAGTAGCTGAGCCCGAAGCCGGCCTCGGGACACTCTGCCTCTGTCCATCCGTTCACTGCCTTGGAGCTCTGTGTATTGCACTGGCAGAATAGCTACCGGGTTTGACCATTCCTGTGTCAATTTATGTTACTAGTTTCCATGCCTGAATGCCCTGCCATCCGGCCGACCAGTTAGTGGACTTGCTGCACCCTCCTCTCCTGATGGTAGAGGTGCTCCAGGTAGTGATGGCATGGTAACTGTTCTTTCTTTCTTTCCGTTTAGGCAATTCTGCACTGGAGAGTTCAGGTCAGTCTCAGATGCGTTTGACCTCTCCTCCTACTCCTGCAGGGTTTCCTGGGGGGTTGGTGAGGGTATTGGGGAACCATGGGCAAGTGGTGGAAGATAATATTCAGAGGGTGTCTCCTTTATTGATGGGTTCTTTAGCTCACTTCTATCCAAGTCTTTGTGAGAGTCCTTTTAGCCTCCAGTGTGTCCTAAACGGAAAGGACCCATGATTATTTGTCATCACCCCAGGTCTTTCTTCTTGGTTACAGAAAAGATGGTGTTCCGATAGGATACAAAGGAAGCACCTTCCATAGGTAAGGCTTTTGGCAAACTGTTAGTGCAGTCATCGCTTGGTATCTGTGCAGGCAATCCTGAACACCTTAGTGCACCTATGGTAGGTCAACTTTGTTGTTTAAAGTGTCGTGTTCAGGGCTGAGGATGTAGCTTGGTGGTAGAGAATTTTCCCAGCATAGGTGAGGCTCTGGGTTCAATACTCAGCCCCACATAGCCTGTGCACAACTCTCCATGCACCTCAAGTCATCCTAGATGCTTTGTAATACCGTGTTGTAGAAATGATGGCAAGGAAAGCAATCTATCAGTTTGGTGCAGGTGCAGTTCCATAGCTTCTATACCCAGCTTTCATGTAGATTCTAGGGATCTGAACTCAGGTCCTCATGCCTCGTAGCAAGGACTTTACCCACTGAACCATCTTCCTGGTTCCAGGTAGAGCTTTTGTAATAATTACTGTTATCAGGCAGTCATCTGCAGGAACCTGACTTTCATGAACTCCGGGCTTTCTGTATTTACCAATTTTTGTTAGGGTTTGACAGAAGTTCTACTTTAATCCTGAAAATTTTTGTGTCACCCATATCAGGGGCTTTAGAATTTTGGTCTTTAATCCTTCCCAGCATTCTTGTGAGGTAGTATGTGTAATCTGCATTCTGTAAGGAAGGAAACGGGCTAAGAAAGGGCTATGCCTGGTTATACCTTCCATTACCCTGTGTGTGTGGTGGTCCATTTCACATATATTTGCTGCTGTTCTTTCCCCCAAAATTTTCATTAAGCCCTTGACATGTGTTTGTTTTGGTGAATATGTTATCTTTTCCTGACAGGTTTCAGCCCTTTTCTGTTGTTCAGGTGGTCACTCACACACCTTAGATCAACCCAAAGATGCCCCTGAAGCTTCAAACATGTTATGATTCGTAATCCCTCAGCTTGCTCACTCCAGGGGTGAAGACTCAGTCTCTAAGCCACAGTGTTAAACATTGTACTTCAGAAAAAAATACTAAGCTGCTCTGTTGGTGACCAAACCACGGAATCCTTCCCTCAGGATTTTTTTTAATACTCTGTTTCAGGGTCATAAAGGATTTCATGATTCAGGGTGGAGATTTTGTTAATGTAAGTACTGCTGTTTTTTCTTTGCTATTCTTCCTATAGGACTCCAGTCTTGAGACTTAAGAATAATAGCTAAGTTAAATGGAGAGAGCATGGATGTGGGAATGTGCTATAGAATTGCTGGCTACCACTGACTGTGCCCTTAGAACATATATCAATACTAAACTGGAATCATTAACTTCCATTGTCCAAACCTGAGCTTTTTGTAACGAGAAATTGGACTTTGCTAGTATACCTACAGATGATCTGAGACAATCCACATTCTTTGACCACAGAAAACTTTGAAATTGTCTTCGGGTTCCCCCCCAAAAGGAAGTGAACTGACTCATTATGTGCCCCATTTTTCCTTCCACTTCTGGTGTCACTGTCTAAAATTCTAGTTTTTTTGTTTTTGTGGATCCCCTTTCTTTTTTCCTTTTGAAAGCTGAGGTTTTAACCACAAGCCTGTTAGTGGCAAGGGATCAGGTCAGGAGAAGCAAGCAGTTTAAGGGGTGTTTGCTCTGCTTGCTGGGGTAGTCCAAGGATCTATCCTTCACTGCTGACCATGACATTTTGTGACCATGCTGTTTGTGTCCCCACCCCCGCGTTGGAGTGTTCCCAGTAAGCCAGGAATTTTCTTTTTTAAACCTGCTTTTCCCTTAGTCATTCACTTCGGCGCATGATGTTTCTTTACTGTTAATAGTTCGTAGATGGGTATGTTGCCAACTCCTTGTCTGAGAGGCATTCTTTTCCCTTTAGATGTAAATTTAGTTAGATTCTTGTAAGTATTTGAAGATCTTTAGACTGAATTCTGCTGTCACTTGTGCTGTGTTTCAACTGTGTAGTTCTGTATAGATGGGGAATCTGGGAGAGGTACCTTACCTGCTGTTCTTCCAAAAGACTTGAGTTCCTGGCTTATAATTATCTACAACTCCATTTCCAGAGTATCTGACACTTCTGGGCTCTGTGGGCACCAAAACTTACATGCATGTACCCATACCACACACACAACAAACACATAGTTAAAAATAATACAAATAAATCCATTTTTAAAGCTGGGAAATGTGGGAGCCAGAGATTAGGAGCACTAGTGGCTCTTCCAGGGGGCCCAGGTTTGATTCCCAGCCCCTATATGGCAGCTCATAGCCATCTGTAACTCCAGCTCCACAATTTGAAAATGAATAAGAAGGGGCATATGGGAAGTTTGGAGGGAGGAAAGGAAAGGGAAATAATGTGATTATAATCTCAAATTAGTGTGCGTGTGTGGGTGCGTGGGGGGGGGAGACATTGGGTGTTTCCTATCAGTCACTAATTGCCTTGCCTTGAAACAATGTTTTCAGTAGATTGGTTACTGCTTAGTTCAGCTAGGGGAGCTGGCCAGCTAGCTCTCAATATCTGCCTGTCTCTACCTATTAATGCTGGAGTCAGAGGCATGTACAGCCATGCCTGTCCTTCCTTCCTTTAGGTCTTCATGCTTAGAGTTAGCAAGCATTTTCACCCACTGAGCAATTCTCCCCAGCCCTATCAGTATTCCTCTGGTTTCCAGGGTGCCCAGCACTCCAGGCCACTAACATCTCTTTTCTGCTCAGGGAGATGGTACTGGAGTCGCAAGCATTTACCGAGGTCCATTTGCAGATGAAAATTTTAAACTTAGGCACTCAGCTCCAGGCTTGCTATCCATGGTAAGTGAGTCAGTTAAGATTTGGGGTTAGATGAATAGCAGGTTTCTGGTGCCTTGTTGAGGCCCCTGCTCTGTGTCTTGGAATAAGAGCAAATGTTTCTCTTGCTTCAATCAGGCCTCACCAGCACCTCTCCCGTCCTCCTTCCTTGATCTGGTTTGATGTGTGGTGGCTCACTCTTGTAATTCTAAAGCCCCGGAGGCTGATCTGGCCTGGGCTACAGAAATGAGACCCTATTTGGGGGATGGGGGGGGGGGCAAAACAAAATGAGGCTGCCTCTGAGAAGATCATTTCAAGGGAAGAGATGTTGCTACAGAGTTTCAGATTCTTAGCTAGACTAGATTGGGGGTTGGGTTGGAAGAGTGGCCAGCAGCTTGCAGGAGGCACTGGGTTGGTCTCCAGCATAAAATAAGCATGGTGCACATCTAAAATCCCAGCACTTGGGAGACTGAAGTAGCAGGGTTGAACTTCAAGCCCAGCCTCAGGTGCATAATGAGTTCCAGGACAGTCTAGGATAAATGAGACCTTGTCTCAAATCCCTCCTGCCTTCCCCCCAGAAAGTAAAACTCAGCAATGAATGATTTGGGACAGTGCAGGGCCTGGAAAGATGGTTCAGTGGGTAAGATCACTTCTGTTCTTGCAGGGGACCCAAGTCTGGTTCCCAGTACCCACATCAGGCAGCTAACAACTGCCTACAAGTATAGCTCCTGGGGATCCTGCATGAATATAGTGTGCATAAAGTTATAACAGGAACAATAAACAAGCAAATAGATTTCAATACATTGCAAAAACCACTGCAAACAGCTGATCTCACAGGCAGTGTGTCTTTTCTTAGCTGGTAACCAGTTTGTAAGTAGCTAATTTGCAGCTGATACACTAAGTCAGGTCCTGTAAGGAGGGAGAGGTGGATATAGTAAGACTGCTCAGCCAGTAAAGACAGGGATAAAAACACCTGCTGCACATGCCTGAGTTCAATACTAGCCCCATGAGAAGGTGGAAGCAGAGAACTAACTCCACAAAGCTATTTTCTGACCTCACACATCATGTAAACACATACACACAATTTTTTTTAAATGTAGAAGAAAAAAACAGAGGGGGGAACCAGCTAGAAAAATGAGAGGATCTAGGAAGAGAATTAATAAGACCAGGATATAATAAATGTACATATGAAAATACACAATTAAAGCCATTACTCTATATGCTAACCTAAAAACTTAGTTAAATCTTATGTTTACTTGTTTGAAATGAACAGTCATTCCCATTACAAAACCTCACTACTAGTAGGGGGCTCAGCGGGTAAAGGTGCTTACCACCAAGTCTGATGACCTGAGTTCAGTCCCCAGGACCCATGTGATGGGAGGAGAGACGTGACTCCTACAAAACCTGACACTACAAATACTGTTCATTTAGTGAAGAATTTAGAGCAAGTGTAGGGACTCTGCCCTTTTATCCGTGTGTTCTTGTCTAGGCCTGGGTGCATAATAGGTGTTCAGTTAGGTTGCATTTAGAGTTGCATTCTTTGTGGGAAATCTTACCCTCGCCTAATATGGCCAGAGAAACTTACTACAGGTGTATTTGGTTCCTATCAGGCAAACAGTGGTCCCAGTACAAATGGCTGCCAGTTCTTTATCACATGTTCTAAGTGTGATTGGCTGGATGGGAAGCACGTAGTGTTTGGTAAGTCTTACTCCCATCCCACTGTCCCAGTCACCAATCTTGGGCCTGCCACATTCGCCCCTCTCGCTAAACATGTTCAGCTGCTGTAGCTGCTCTAGGCTAGGTCAGATGGACGTGGCAGGGATGGCTAGGGAAGATGGACGTGGTGGTTGGCTAGAACTCATAGAAAAGACAAGGGTGTTCCAGTAAATACACATGAGATAAATAGTAAATGCCCTAAGGGCAGCATGGAAGAGTGTGCCTTGGGGTCCCTCAGAGCCAAGCATGTATCCTAGTTTCCTGTGTATATATTCCTTGTGACTTTGGGCAGCAAGTCAGCTTACCTCGCTGAACCTCAGTTGCCTTATGTTGTAAGATGCTAACTGAGAATGGGCACTGGGAGCTGGAAAACACTGTGCCAGCACCACAAAGGAAGCCTTGATTTAATGTTCTTCCTGCAGGAAAAATCATTGATGGACTTCTGGTGATGAGGAAAATCGAGGTTGGTCCTGCTTGGGTGTCCTCAAAGCCTTTTTGGTCAGGTACCTTCTGCCTATTAATGAGGAACTAGAGAAGGGTAAATGGGCTCCAGTTTGCTAGACAGACGTGTCACTGTCTGCAGTTACAGGCTCCCTTGGGGAAGAGAGGAAAGAAGCTTTCTTGGCCCCATTCATTAACCTGCCCAGTATATACATGGGTTTGGCCTCTGATCCTGATGCCCACTTGATAAATTCCACTTCTTGGCATTGCATTCAGGATCCTTTGTGACCTGTATTCTGCTTACCCCTCCATGACCCCTTCTGCCACTGCCTTCTCTGGTCCAGTGGCATCAAGCTCCTGGCTCTTCTCTAAGGAGATTGGCCATTCAGGTGCGTGCCTCCTGTTCTTCCTCACCCTAAGCCTTGGCCACAATTGTCTCTATCTGAAGAGTTCCTTCTTTGGGATCTTTCCTACCCTTCCTGGCCCAGTTGAGATGCTGGGTCCCTTCTTGGTCAGTGCTCTTCTGACTTGCTACATTGTTACATTGTGGGGCTGTAGCCTCTGTGTTACTTTTCTCTTTGATCTGTTACACTTTACTGTCTATCAGGACACACTCCACATCAGTTTGATATTGGTCCCTTCCTTAGGGAATGGAAGCAAGGTGGTGAGCAGGTGCCCAAGTGTATCTCGTGTTCTTGTGCTTTGTTTTCTAGAATGTTCCCACAGGCCCTAACAATAAACCCAAATTGCCGGTGGTAATCTCACAGTGTGGGGAAATGTAATCTACACCAAGACTGAACCAGGTAAGTGATCTCTTCTCCCTGGTTAGAATCATGACTTGAGGGAAACTTTCCACTCACAGATGGGGATTGAGTTGTAAGTAGAAGTTTCTATCCCACTAGCAACTCCCAAATAAACACACAGAGGCTTATATTAGTTAAGAATGCTTGACTGAAAGCTCAGGCTTATTACCAGCTAACCCATATTCCTTATTTGTGCTCTGCCACATTGGTACCTTTTCTCAGTAAGGCTTGGCCATTGTACTCTCTCTGCCTCTAGCTAGCAACTCCTCTGTCTCTGTCCTTCTTCCTCCCAGAATTCTCTCTGTGTCGGGCTGTCTCGCCCAATCTCTTCCTGCCCAGCTATCATCCAATCAGCTTTTTATTGATGAGAGCAGTACACATTTAGAGTTCCACAGCACTGAGTGCATTTCCTTTGCATGTGAGCTTGGAGCAGGCACTCCTCAGAGCATGTTTCCTCAGCTGTCAGGACAGGATGTCAACTTGAGGGTCATTGTGAGGAGCAAAAGGGGGGACACTGGAAATACTCCCCTTTCTACTGCTTCATACAGTGTCACCCTGAAAAGGACCTGATTCCCAGATGACTGCACTGGGACTAGCCTGGTGTCCAGTCCTGGGGTGTGGGTCTCATATGCAGCTTTCCCAGACTTCCTTCAGCTAGATATTTGCTACTGGCTGCTCTGCACTGGGGCCTTCTGGGAAAGACCTGACAGGCACTCCCAGGAGAGAATTCATGCTCTGGAATGAATGCTAGTAATCTGAGTGACTTGTGTGTTATAGTACACTAGGTTAAAATAGATCAGTCCACCTCTGTACGGGAGGGGTCATGGTGTTTTTTTAAAAACCTTTTAAGTTTTTTGTCAGACCTACAAATTTGGAAATGTTGATTAATCACCCACAGCCTCACAGCTAGGGTTACCAGGGTTGGACATTTGTTTGTGGCTATGCTATCCTCTCCCTCCATTTTCATGCCACATTCTCTCCTTCGCTATCTTGTTTCTAATTGTAGACCTTTTGTTTTGCTTTTGGTTTTTTTTGTTGTTGTTGTTGTTGTTTTTTGAGACAGGGTTTCTCTGTATTGCTTTGGAGGCTGTCCTGGAATTTACTCTGTAGATCAGGCTGGCCTCGAACTCAGAGATCCACCTGCCTCTGCCTCCCCGAGTGCTGGGATTAAAGGCGTGCACCACCAACGCTTAATTGTAGACCTCTTGATACTTCACCCCTAAGCACTTCAACAAGGAGCCCCTAAATTAAGACTAATTAATAAGACTAAATAAACATAATGATATTTGTAATACATAGTATATATTCAAAATTCCCTGTTGTCTCCAAAGTAACTTTTAAGTCATACAGAAGTTTATTGTTTTTGTAGCACTGGTGATTGAACTAGACTTTGTGCATTCAAGACAAGTGCACTACCACTGACCTGCACACCTTTGGGTCCTACTGTTACACACACACACACACACACACACACACACACACACACACACACACACACACACACACACACGTGTCCTGGCCAGACATGTTGGCGCACCACTGTAGTCCCAGCTCCTTGAAAGGCTGAGGCAGGAGGATCACCAGAGAAACTTTAGAGACCAGCCAAAGTAAACAGCACAAACCTTTCACCAAAATCCTTGTATTTGGGTTGGTTTGGTTTGAGTGTTTTTAATGCATGTATGTTTGTATACCACTTGTATACCTAGTGTTCACGGATGCTAGAAGAGGGCATCAGATCACTGTGCCAGGGTTATAAATGGTTGTGAGCCGCCATGTGGGTGCTGGGAATTGAACTGGGTCCTCTTGCAAGAGCAGCAAATGCTCTTGATCTGTTGTAGAATATTATTTTTTTATTTTTTGGTTTTTACGAGACAGGGTTTCTCTGTATTGTTTTGGAGGCTATCGGTCCAGTCCGGCCTAGAACTCACAGAGATCCGCCTGCCTCTGCCTCCCGAGTGCTGGGATTAAAGGCGTGCGCCGCCGCCGCCGCCGCCGCCGCCGCCGCCACCACCACCACCACCACCACCACCACCACCACCACCACCACCACCACCACCACCACCACCACCACCACCACCACCACCCCCCCCCACCACCACCCCCACCCCCGGCGTAGAATATTATTTTACTTTTTATGCTCTGGAACAATTTAATGATGCAAAGATGTGTTTGTTTAAATAAAATTCACCTCCAGTCGGGAGGCTGGGTCAGCAACTAGCTGACAGGAAGTTGTAGGGAGGAGCCAGGTGGCAAAGCGTTTCCATAAGGAGGTGTGGAGAAAAAGCACGAGAACTTGAGAGACTCTAAAGTTGCTTGCTATTCAGCCTCTCTGGGAAGCAGGATTCTACCTCAACTTTTGAATCTTGAGTTCTTTAGTGGGACAGACATTTAAATAAGTTTGTTTAGTGGCTTTGAGTCAATGCCTGAGGTAACAGAATACCCTCAGGCTTTGGCTCTTGTGGCCTAGCTGCTTTGCGGCTGCTGGTAGCTGCAGAGCTGCAGTTACTGAATAATTGGGGCCTCATGTTGGGTGCCATTATATCGTCTTTTTTTTAAACTCTCATGGCTTTTTTGAGGGGCCCTGCCACCCAGCTCCCAAGTGAAGCACATACAGAGGCTTAGTCTTAGTCACGAATGTCCATTCTTAGCTTGACTAGTGTCTAGTCAGGTTTTCATAAATTATCCCATCTACCTTTTGCCTTTGGGCTTTTCCTGTTCTCTTCTGTAAATCTCTGTGGATTGCTGGGTGGCTGGCCCCTGGTGTCCTCTGTTCTTCCCTTCTTTCCTCCTATTCATTCTGCCCACCAGCCCCACCTATCCTTGCTCTTGCCTTGCTATTGGCCATTCAGCTCTTTATTAGACCATCAGGTGTTTTAGACAAGCACAGTAACACAACTTCATAGAGTTAAGCAAATCCAGCATAAACAAAAGTCACACACCTTAAAATAGTATTCACCCAGGCGGGGCGGTGGTGGCACACACCTTTAATCCCAGCACTTGGGAAGCAGAGGCAGGTGGATCTCTGTGAGTTTGAGGCCAGCCTGGTCTACAGAGCTAGTTCCAGGACAGCCCCCAAAGCCACAGAGAAACCCCGTCACAAAAAACAAACAAATTAGCTGGGTGAGGTAGGACACACCTGTAATTCTGTAATCCCAGCCAGAGAGAGATGGCTAAGAGTGTGACAAGTTTGAGGACTGCTTGAATTTAAGAATGTTTTAAGGCTTGCCTGGCAACTTAGTGACCCTGTATAAAAGAGGGGACAGGCGAACCTGCTCAGTGGCTGGCTGACAAGCTTGTAGACCTGAGTTTGATCCCCAGGACCGACAGGAAAGAGAACCGACTCCTGCAAACCCCCTCTGGCATGTGCTTCGGCACTTGCACACCCATGTTTACATCCACAAAATGAATCAATACGTTAACTAATAAAATGTTTGGCAGAGTCTCAGCATTTGGAGGCTGAGACAAGATTGCCACAAGTGCACAACAAGCCAGGGCCACAGCAGCAGCAGCTCGCCCACCCGCAAAAAAGAAGGTTGTTGTGTTGCTCAGGAACACAACGCACGCAGAGCCAGGGTCTGTCTGTACTGCAGCAAAGGAAAAGAAAAATATGGGAAGTTCTGATTTGATGCCATCGAGATTATTGGTCCCTTAATGACTTTCCTGCCTTGCCTTATCAACTAACCTTCACTACCTCCAATCATAATGTCCTCTGCAGTATAGAGTCTATACCCTTTGAAATTTCTGTACTTTATCTGCATACTTAGGAAATTGTATCTATTGTGCATAACAATGGAGGTCAAAGGACAACTTTTTTTTTTTTTTTTTTTTTTTTTTTGGTTTTTCGAGACAGGGTTTCTCTGTAGCTTTGGAGGCTGTCCTGGAACTCACTTTGTAGACCAGGCTGGCCTCGAACTCACAGAGATCCGCCTGCCTCTGCCTCCCCAGTGCTGGGATTAAAGGCGTGCGCCACCAACGCCCGGCAAAGGACAACTTTTTTAAGTGTTCTCTCTTACCATGTGAGTCCCTGGGATCCAACTCATGTTCAGCAACAAAGATCTTAACCCTCTGGGCCATCTCATTGGCCTGGAGTCTTGTTTTATTTTTGAAACAGAGTCTCACTATATCACCTTGACTGGCTTGTTTCCAACAACACACAGAGATGCCCTGTCTCTGTCCCCTGAGTGCTGGAATAAAAGATGCGCACCACCATGGCAGGCAGTCCCTTGGTTTTTTTTTTTGTTTTTGTTTTTGTTTTGTTTTGTTTTTTTAATGGAGATCAGTCAAATACCAAACAACCTCAGTGAGAGCACAGTATCATCTGTGACGTCCTTGTTTGTGCTCAGAGCAGCTGGAATTTACATGCATTCAATAATACTTACTACATGGGGCAGTGGAGGAAAACCAAGCAGTTTAGGGAGGAGCCTGGAGTGAGCAATGCCGAGGCAGGAATGAACAAGTGCATGCTGGGAACTATATATGGACCTTTGTTTTAACCTAGGCAAATGCTTCCTTCTCAGGCTGAATGAATGCCATGAGCCTTTCTGCCAAGATGGGAACCGCCCCCCCTAGGTTGAACCTGCTCCCACTTAAAGAGCTACTAACTGTTCTAGTTTCACTCATTTCTTTCATGTCACTTACAATGAGTTCATAGGCTGTTCTCTGATCATCACTGGGGCTCTCTGACCTTGCCTTGTTTCACCGCATGAGGGTTAAGCTTTGCAGTGCTCCCTTTGGCCATTGCCTCTCTCATCCCATGAAGGTTCCCCATTTTGTAATAAATTCTCTTTTGGGGGGAGGGGAGGGTTCAAGACAGGGTTTCTCTGGCTTTGGAGGCTGTCCTGGAACTAGCTCTTGTAGACCAGGCTGGTCTCGAACTTACAGAGATCCACCTGCCTCT